ATGTTTAATCTGTAGACCACCGATTATTGTGATGGGTCGAGTCCGGAATATTTTACTGATACACGACGTTCTACGCGATTATCTCCATCTGACTACTCGAATGAGAAAGTATATTTATATCGAATAATATATATATACACTTGTCCTTCTGGTCACTTCTCATTGCCATCGATTGACCTTCGCGTCTTTTTACTCCTGACTGGCTCTACATATAACCGAGCTGGTATCGAATGGTGTGCATGGTAAGAATACAACTTATGGATGACCTTTGGGCGACGCTGAAGTGACTTTGAGAATGTCCACCTACTAACTAGGACTAAATGAGAGTTATAAATCAGTGTGAGGAATTAGAATTATGAATTACAGTTGGTGGTTAGGGTGAGGAATTAGATTTAAAGTTTTCATCACGAACTGACATCACCAAAAATGCTAAAGCCTTATTTGGCCAAATCGATGAATTAATTTCGCACTAAAATCCAAGACCAGTCATTTTATATCTGAGTGGTTCGTCCATAAATTATAGTCTTATCATATAAATCTCTAAATTCAATCAACTCGGAATGTCGAGCAACTATGCTTCTATGTACTTGATGAGTACCTGTCTCACATACGAAATGGTTGAAATCCAATAGAACTCCGGAATAATACCTTTTGATTTTATTCAGTAGCGAGTGCATGACTGATTACTATAGATGTTTGTGGAGATCTTCCAATTTTATAGTAAACATCAAGGAATAATCTTCGTTAAACTATCACTGAAATCGAAGATGAGTTAGCAATATTCTCAAAAACTGCTTCATTTCAATCTTAGAACCCTTTTAACTGTGATATAATTGTAAATGATGCAGAGTTTATAAATTACGAATTTGATACATATCATATTGTCACAACTAATTCTTTCTAAGATCAATCTTAAATAAACCAATAGTCACCATTTATATATATTGATCGACATAATCGGGTACTCCGAATTCTTAATTATATGATCTATAAGGAAAGCGTGGAAAGGAAAACACTATGGAGGCTTCTTCGACACTACGGCGTACCTCTCAATACCAGGAAAAGTCTTCATCAGAGTATTATTTAACAGGATGAAGGATTCCGTAGATGCTCAGCTTCGAGACCAACAGGCTGGACTTCGTAAGGATCGATTGTGTACAGACCAAATCGCAACTCTACGGATCATTGTGAAACAATCAGTTGAATGGAATTCATCACTCTACATCAACTTCATTGACTACGAGAAAGCATTTGATAGGGTGGATAGGATAACACTATGGAGGCTTCTTCGACACTACGGCGTACCTGAGAAGATAGTCAATATCATACGGAATTCCTATGATGGATTAAACTGCCAAATCGTGCATGGAGGACAACTCACTGGCTCGTTTGAAGCAAAGACCGGTGTCAGGCAAGGTTGCTTACTCTCACCCTTTCTTTTTCTCCTGGTGATCGACTGGATCATGAAGACGTCAACATCTGGAGGGAAGCACGGGATACAATGGACAGCTGGGATGCAGCTGGACGATTTAGACTTCGCAGATGATTTGGCTCTTCTACCACACACGCAACAACAAATGCAGGAGAAGATGACCAGTGTAGCAACAGCCTCAGCAGCAGTAGGTTTCAATATACACAAAGGGAAAAGTAAGATTCTCCGATACAATACAGCATGCACCAATCGAATTACACTTGATGGAGAAGCTTTGGAGGATGTGAGAACCTTTACATATCTGGGCAGCATCATTGATGAGCACAGTGGATCTGATGCAGATGTGAAGACGCGGATCGGCAAAGCAAGAGCAGCATATTTACAACTGAAGAACATCTGGAACTCAAAACAATTGTCAGCCAACATCAAGATCAGAATTTTCAATACAAATGTTAAGACAGTTCTACTGTATGGGGCGGAAACTTGGACAACTACAAAGGCCATCATCCACAAGATATAGGTGTTTATTAACAGTTGTCTACGCAAAATACTTCGGATCCGTTGGCCAGACACTATCAGCAACAATCTACTATGGGAGAGAACAAACCAGATTTCAGCTGAGGAAGAAATCAGGAAGGAGCGCTGGAAGTGGATAGGACACACTGAAGAAATCACCCAACTGTGTAACAAGGCGAGCCCTCGTATGGAATAACGAAGGCCAAAGAAGAAGAGGAAGACCACAGGACACATTACGCCGAGAAATGGAGACAGACATGAGGAGAATGGACAAAAGTTGAATAGAACTAGAAAGGAACGTCCAGGCCAGAGTGGGTTGGAGAATGCTGGTCGGCGGCCTATGTTTCATTGGGAGTAACAAGCATAAGTAAGTAATGATCTTTATGGAAGAGTCAGATTGCAACGGATCACAAGTCCTCTGGCGTTTCTCAGAAAACATACTTCTAGTTAATTGTTACCAATTGTCTGATATTGATTTACCAAATGCATCACAGTTAAACAAGCAAGGTTAAGAACATGAATAAAGTTAGATTTATGGTTTGAGAAGCAATCTTTAATAAAAATTACATCCCAAAAAGCAGCAGTAATTCTCGAAATGAACGGAGGAATGATTGAGTACTAAGTACTTCAGTGAACATTTTTAGGTAAAATTAAACTACTTATATGTAATAAGTAGTGCAAAAGTAAATCCTTGAAATTATAATTCGGGATATATTCAACGTAATCACGTAAACTGATGGACAGGAATTATGATCGATTTTTCTTCTATGTAGTCGAATTGGCAGTATTCGGAATCAGCAAAACCCATTGAACACAAGCTGGACAATAAAGGTTAGGTACGCGAGAGATGCTGCTGTACTCCGGTCACGAAGGGGGAAATGCTCCACCCACTCAGGGAGTTGCCCTAATGCTGTACAGAAAAGCGCGAAACGCACTAGTAGGATGGGAATCACATGGAAACAGAATCATCATCATTCAAAACAAAGAAGGAGGGGATCACAATGAATATTATCCAATATTATACACCCACCAATTATAGCAACGACGACGATAAAGATCAGTTGGCTTGGTCGTATCGAAATTACAAATGGGAGTTGACTTCACTTCCTGTCAACGAATTCAGAATAATTGTAACAAATAAGAAGGAAAATTAAAATTATTAAATATTTGAAAGAATTGAACACTATAAACTGAAGAGCTTAGAAAATTACGAGGTCATGCTCCAAGTGACGCCGAAATCAACCATTTATTGGATGGTTAAAGGTAGTCAACGAGAAACCTTGCAAAATCTAGGCACCGTATTAGTTGGCACTCGACAAGGCATACCTGTAATCTTGAAATTGATGCTCTATTTGGGATTCAAACATGCGTCACCACCACTGGCTTCTATTCTGAGCCATGTTTGATAACTTCTCTAGCCACTATGTTGCAAGACCCTAAGGATCCCAACCAGGGAATCTTAAAGGACCAAGTGAAGTAAGTTCTGTACAGATAGGACGACATTTGTTGTATTTGTCTAAGCCACTGAAGTAGAAGTTTCAAGATAGTAACACCCATTAAATTACCGTCGTTATGCCCACGTACACGTTGTCAAACCTCTGCATCTCCAACATGATGTTGCAATTTGACGTCAGTAATCTGTCGTAAGCAACGATGATCATACACCAAGAGTCTTCTAACATCCTCAACTCCGAGAAGCCAAGTTTCACAAACAACGTGTTGTAGACTCAACCTTTCACAACTAAACCAACATCATGAAGACACCAAAGATGGCTAAGATTAGAATAAACCACCCAGACTTTCACTAAACGTGGTTTGATCTCATCTCTCACTACGCACGTACGCAACTACTCAGATATTTTTTTTCTCATTCCATATTTCATAATACTGAAAATACAAGTTTGTATAGTTGGATTTGTAGTGAACAAGAAGACGAGTGGGGACAATCGAATCTATTCAAGCACAAATTACAGACTATCTCACTAAATTCTGATAACCATACAGTAAACAGTTAATTCGCAAAATAACAATCAATTGTCTCAATCTTGATTGTTCCTTCTGAAAACATCAGTTCGGCTTCTCTGATTTCATTGTACATGCATTTTCGTACCGATTGCGCTTCATTCCTGTACGTTCCGTATTGATCTTCTGCCAGAATACATTCTCTATGTCTGACCATCATCATATACTACTTATGTGTATATAAGTAGACCACACCACAGATTTACAAAAGGAAGGACACGTAAGAAAAATTGTCTACTTATTTTTAGATTAGTTTTATATAAGTGTTAGGAATGCCAGATCCACAGAAATCACCTAGTTAACGTCTCATTTTTTGCAATTATATTATAGAAATTCGAACTCATTTTCGCGTCAAAAAGCGCCAATCCCCACCTTAAATTTGTATTTCACGCGTGGAAGGACATTTGTTCGCTTTCTCTTTTCGTACACTATTTCGAGACGTTTTCCAAGGACATTTTTACACTATATATACCCATGAGTTGTTTGTTTGTTCGTACTTCCGACTGCTTGTGGAATATATATTTTTTTCTGGATGAATCTGGTCTTCTCTCTCTAGTTAGCAGGTCCGGAGCGCAATGGAATAGCTTAGTTTGTCCTGTTTTGTTGCTGATTTCCGTTCACCGGTTCTAGTTGACATCGTCATCTCATTAAACGTATCAAAAAGTCATCACCATTGGAGTTCAAACAAGTCAGTGAAAGATGGTTGTATGACATTGCGTATATATTAAACTTGGTAAGGTGAACTGCCAACCAAGAGACTCGGAGGTCCTAAGTTTAATTGCCTCTAGTAGGGTCGTAGATCCCCTATTACTGAGAAGTTCCATATTAGAACAAAATAGTTGTTCAATGCTCCTAGTTTTTAGTGGTTGTTTAACTACGGTAAACTAATGATAAAAACTATCAAACCCAAAAATCACCACAAATACATGTTATAATTGTTCTGCTAATAAACAACCTATCTACTTTTATTGCTTAGTATTCTTATACAATAACACTCGACAAGCTCCCAAAAAATTAGAACACGTTGAAACCATAAACGACCAGATTATATTTACAATGAAATACCATATTTTACAGTAGAATGGTGGAAATAAATAAAACTTATTAAAGGAACTTAAAATAAGCTCTAAAAAATATACAAGTACTATTTACATATTCACATGAAATGTTGGTAGTTGGATAGTGGGGTGTAAAAAAAAAATAATTCTATATTTGACAGTGAGAAATTAAAACCCATATTTAGCTCTATTTGAAGCTTTATTACGTCTTGCTTCTGCCCAACGTTTTTCTAATTCCATTTCATTTTCTTGAGCCTATTTGAATAGAATTGTAAAGAGAGTAAAATCTTGAATTATAAAGTTGAAATGTTTCTTTTAACTTCAATATATGTAGGCTATTGTAGGTCATTAAATATAAATATCTTTTTATATTGTACTTATGCACTTGCACCCAAATGCGTTGGTACAGCTGAAGATAAGGAAAGTTCTCTCTACTTTTCGAAATGCTCTCAGATGGCCAAGGATTTATAGCCACTGTCTTCACGCAGTAATATTGGTTAGGAAAGAAAGAAAAAAGACAAAAAGAGAACATTCAGTGTTTCAACCACGTTGATGTATAAGGAGAGTCTACCTAGGGGATTCGGAGAACTTTAATTCTATGATCCTGATGAAACGAGTGGCATATGAAACCATTTTGGTAACCAGCGATCATAGTACTGCATCTCCTGACTTTGTTTCACTACTATATAGATTAGGATATGAGAAAAGGCACCTTAAAAAAATCACGTGCCTCGCCTACACAGTGCCCCAAGCAATAAACAAATTTTATTTTGTATCGTACGTACTACTTTTGATGCCCAGTTTTTTAGCAACATTGCTGCTTGACACTAGACGAAGCGAGTTCGAAATTTCATGGGAAATATAGTTCCTTCAAAGTATCCGTTGTTGGTAAGTGGCAACTAGCATGAAGCCAGCCAACACACTCCGAACAATTCAAGGTCTTTATCAAAACAAACGTACATAATAACTACAAAATTGGTAACTAACAATCTCACCAAAATATATGACAAATAGCCATGAAATAATCCTGTTAAACGAAAAAGAATTATACCTGATGAGCTAGCCAAGTAATTTGATGCTTTCTATGTGCCAGTTTGCCGGGATCATCATCTGTAGACTTTGATCTATATTGTGAATCATCACTTGTAACAGATTTAATTAATTCTAATTGAGCACCAGCTGTTAAATCAGATTGATTGATTGATATTACTTCTGTATTTGTTGATTGTAATAATTCATTTACAGCAATATGATTAGATTTTGTACCAGGCATAACAAGACGTGCACGTTTACGCTAAAATGAAAATAGGAATTCTATTACAATCAAAGTAACAATGTAAATCATCTCAATTATCAGTTAGAATTAAATAAGACTCAGATATATTTCGTATAAAAAAAACCCGAAAAACAAATACTATGATGAAAGTTATAAACACTATGTAGGAATTTATTTATATAAACACATAAATATTGGTACAAACGGACACCAGATACACATGTGCCACACAAATCACATTTGATTTGTGTGAGGGATGTGATACTGCACAGGTGACCAAACTAAAGTAGGTGGTTTTCCTAGGGAGCCACACCCAGAGCCTTTGACCTTAAGATCTGATCCACAAGGCAGTGGAGCATCTTCAGGAGATGCAGTCCCATGGTAACCGGTGACCAACGATTGATTCATACGCCATTTGTTCCCTCAGGATACTGAAGCCCATGTGCACCATTGGTTTGAAATGAGGGTTTTCCAACTGCCCTAGGTGGACACTCCACATCCACCAACCCGGTTAAAGTGCCGGACATTCGCCTTTCGTCCTCTCAATTTGGTTAACAACACCTCCGCAACGAAAAGGCAGTGAGTAGGACTTCCCTGTCAGAGGCTATATACGCGCGGCCATGTGAGAGCATTTGGAGAGGGAGAGCGGACTCTCCCCACTCTCGGCCGTACCAGGGCATTTGGGGGCTATTTATTTCATAAATATCTTTTAATATTATTATCATTATACATTAAACGTTTAAAATTGGAAACAAGAACTTAGATACACAAAATTTGACCAACCGAATCGAACTAGACAGAAATAATATGCAGCTAAACACATTAAAATCCGAATAGAAATAGAAGATGAATATGACATGCTTGACTTTATTCAGTAACTTTGTCTGATGTGTTTATGTCTAATACATAACAATGAAAATGTTTGGAAATAACTAGTTGATGTATGGAACAGATGGAATGTGGCTAGCAGAGAAGTGTAAAAAGTATGTTACATACTGTATGGGGCTCGTCAGCTGGGTGTAAGTGCATCCCAGAGTTGATGTTCGTTTCGAGACTCGAACTGAGTACATTTCGTTTTAAAATACTAACGCGCTCCTGGATTTAACTGTTAGCGTCGTTCCATTTATTCTATGTAAACTAGTGTCGTGGTAGTTATATCGAGGCAATCCACACAATATACACATATCATAACTAATATTTATCAAACTTCAATCAAAATATCAACAATGGAATAATCCAAATAATCAGAAATTAAAACAACTAGTTCTGACTTTCAATATCTCTTAATTATTGGATAATTGTTAACATGCGTCGCAACAGTTGTCCTGAAGTACGACACTGTTGTACAGAGACATGACTATTTTTACAAACATATTAAGTTCTGAACTGTGCAAGAGCACTGCCTCTAAAAGTATATACACATGAATATCTGCCTTAAATTTTGAGATACGAAGCAGCAGTCCTGAATTTTGATCTGAATCTCAAGTTTTTTCAGACAACGATTCGTTTACTATGGGGTTGGTATTTGGAAATCCAGTTCGGGAACCTATTCATTCGATTAAATCTGTAAAATGAATGTTTTTTACTAAGTGCACGTTTATATTCGGATTGGAGTTATTGATTTTGTAAGAGATAGTGACATTAATAGACTGTGCGAATCTTAAGTTGGAGTGGGGTTTGAACAAGAGACCTATTGGTCAAAAAAAGAATGCTTTAGTCACTATTTCATACCCTCCAAGTAACTTTATATTCCACTTTTCGACGTTTGGCGGACTAATGCAACAGATCATTTCAAGATCCTATGCAACAATAACAACAGTGAACGGGACAATTTTTAAAAACTCCTATTTGAAACTACTTATAAAATACATAGTAGTGTATAAACAAGCACCGTAGTAATCAGTGTTCAGGCATAAGTAACACGTGGCTCAACCATCTCACTCGATGAAGATTCACAACTTCAACTGATTTATCATTTCCTAATACCCTGTATCTAACCTCACTATTACTTACCCAGTGATCCCAGTAGATCCAAGTAATATCTCTAAGACATCTGTGACCGAATACTGGTAACTTACTAGCGTCCTCTACCCTGAATGACCACGTTCCGTAGTCGTAAAGTAAAACAACAAACTGCTGCGCAGTATGCTCGTCCCTTAATTGATAGACGGATATCCCACATTCAACATAAATGACGTAAGTTGGCAAAGACCAAACGAACGTTCTGAATCCGTGCTGAGATTTCGTCAGACACCAACCTATTAAGGCTGATCAGACTCCCAAGATAAGTGAAGTTGTCAACGAGTTCCACTACTTCACTCCCTATTCTTAGTTCAGATGTTGACTCAGGCCAGTCGTGAAGCAACAATTTGCATTTAGAGGGAGAGTAACGAATTCCAAACATCCTGGCATTGTTTCTCAGTGTTACCAAAGGACTGCACTTTATCGGCGTCTTCACCAAACATGACTATGTAATCTGCGTATTCTAAGTCAATAAGTGGACCTCCGATGATATTCTATTGAGAATGTATGTGTACACAACTATAAACAAGTTGAACAGAGATAACACAGATATATGGGATGGGAGTTTTAGTAACGTACATTGTTCATAAGTAAAGTGTCAAAGCGTAAGCAAAGATTGTGTAAACTATAAAGTTTAGATTTTTCAAAATGTATTGAACCCTTGACTCTAAAGTAATATTATTCGCTCAATCGTAAAGCAGACATATTTACAAAAAGGCAGTTGGTTTCGAAGATTCAATTTAATCGTAGATCAAATTATCAACTTGAATCAATTCATTGTTTGTATTTTCATACAAAACGTAGGCCTTAATCAAGTTATTCAAATGAAACATCTATCTTCTTAATGACCTGCAAACTTTGATTACTGTTCCAAAATTTGTATTTATCATTCAATTAGAAACAATGCCAATAATGGTTAATATCAGCGAATTCAGAAAGTCAATACAATTATTATCAACTGGAAGATTAAAAAACTATTTAAAAAGAATTTAAAATACCTCTGGACCTGGAACGAAATTCTCTTCTGTCCAAAAAACTTTCTCTTCAACATCCTCTTTGTCATCTTCTTTTTCTTGTTCAGTGATTTCTTTTTGAACAGAAGACATTTGACGTAAAATTTCCGGATCATTTATAGTAACCTTTGGTAGACACTCTTCCCATGATTTTGTAGTGAGTCGATTAGTAGTTGAGTTTTCATCATGTGACAATTTAACTGTTATGAATGAATTACTATCTTCATTATCTACAGTTGGTGGTTTTCTGGACAGCTCAGCTTTTTTTCGAGTTGCTTGTAGTGCGGCCGCTCTTTCTGAAGCGACAGCTTCATCATTATTAGGTGTAGGTTTGTAAAATGTAAAGAAACTAACTTCTTCAGCATCTTCATCAGCTAATTCTAAATTGTTGTTATCAGAATTTTGTTTGTTGGTTATGTCAGTATCCCAAATGTCATCGTCATCGTTTTTATTCTGAAAGCTTGATTTTTGTTCAACATTTCCAGGTTTGGTTTTCATAGTCAGTGTCTCTTTAACAGTATGACTTGTATTTTTTTTAGACATTAGTTGATGTGGTATCATTGGTCTGTTTCCTTCTCGGACAATAAGTGCACGTGTTGGTGGAAGGACAGAAAGAAGGCTAACTTTATCTGTTCCATGTTTAAAATCTCTATAGGACTGCAAATAGAATACAATAATAAATGACACAAACATTTATAACTTAATAAAATCAAAACCATGTGAAAATGTAAACGAAGAAGCAACGTCCTAAAATTTAGTTTAATTTATACTAATAATAGCCATGTCAACAAGCTAGTTGATATCAAAAGTTTAATCGTAACAAATAACTGATGGGAGCTCGAGTAATTTAAAAGATATTGTATTATGTGCAAATACAAGTATTGTGTCTCTTTTAGTGCTAAAAGCACAACTTATCGATAATGAATATGGATGTATAAATACTAGACTCAGGGTATCGTTTCATTAACCAATAAAATAAGTTGACATATAGGGGATAAAAAGCGATTTACTACAACAAGACAATTCTAAGCTTAGATCCGACAAACTGCAGCAAACTTATTTATACATGTAAAATAAGCCACGATAGTCATCTCTAAATTTGTACATTTTTTTTCCTTTCAATATGTCACTTTCTAATTATGTTCTGAACTACAATGTTTATGAAAAATAGGGAGTGAGATTTGTAGACTATAGTTATTTGACCATGGATATCTTCTTAACCTGGCTTGTATACATTGAAGTTGTTGGGCGCCAAACGTTGATATCATGCACAAAATACTAGGTAAATTAGCTAAACCACTTGATAGGATTGCGAACTTTCAAAAATTTGAGTAGTTGGGACGTACTAAACATTACCCGGGTTCGGTGATAGTTATCTTTTTACCGGTTAGGACAAGACTAGGTTGGAAAAACTAAAGTGACCAAATAAGGATATATTCATTTGTCCTATTTCTGATATTAACCGACCAGTTGAAAATATCTGAACAACCTTGGTATGCTTTTAGAAATCTGGAATATTAGGCGATATACTTTAGAATATATTCATAAATTAATTAATAAGGACAGGATTAAGCATGACCCATTCAACTAGTCATTTTTTAACCATAACGTGTTTAAGGTCACATAGTTTTGTGGTTACTTAGTAGTGCGTTCGACGTAAGTCGCAAGTGCTGGCACCGTTGAAAAAGCAACTAACTTGAAACGAGGTAGAGAGAATCAGGTGGCGATAGGTCTTCTCATATCGAACAGAAAAGAAGTATAAGCATTGTTTGTGGACTTACCAACCAATTTTTAATTCTTCTAACACAAACATACATAACGATGCTTAACTGTAGTTGTATAGAGTGAGCTATGCTGAGATTAAGCACAAACTACTCGATAGAAATAACAAATTTATTGATGAAACTGAAGTCTACTGAGATACAAGATATCTCTACTCCGTAAACGTCGAGTTTTAGTATTATTTCCTACTGTTTAATCCTGTTTTATCTCACTTCTGCGTCATATTTTATAAAATAGTACTTTTATGATCACAGATACTCCTTTCATTTTTACTTTTATGTTGTGCACGTTGTTAATTTCTCGTTGCGTACTGATTTATTGTAGCAACTTCAGATAAGGAACATTTGTGCTAAACTCAACATCAAAAAGACTGAAAGAGTATTATCACCAGGAGAAAAAGAAAGGGTGAGAGTAAGCAACCTTGCCTGACACCGGTCTTTGCTTCAAACGAGCCAGTGAGTTGTACATATACAGAAATAAACAAGCAAGTAAAGAGGAGCATCAGAAGCGACAGACGTAAATATGTGGAAGAATTAGCAATGACAGTGGAAAAGGCTGCAAGAGAAGGAAACATGAGACAATTGTATGATACAACAAAGAAACTCACTGGAAATTATTGTAAGTCAGAACGACCAGTGAAAAGCAAGGAAGGCAAGGTAATCACTAACATTGAAGGACAACGAAACAGGTGGGTAGAGCACTTGAATTGACCAGCTCCACTGAACCCACCCAACATCAAAGTAGCACCCACGGACCTCCCAATTGATGTTGGCCCACCAACAATTAAAGAGATCAGCATGTCCATCAGACAAATCAAGAGCGGAAAAGCAACTGCAAAGATACTCCACATTCTTTTCAGTAAGATTTGGGATGAAGAACAAGTACCAATAGACTGGAAAGAAAGACTTCTGATCAAAATACCCAAAAAGGCTATCTCAGCAGGTGTGATAACTACAGGGGCATCACTCTTCTCTCAATACCAGGAAAAGTCTTCATCAGAGTATTATTGAACAGGATGAAGGATTCCGTAGATGCTCAGCTTCGAGACCAACAGGCTGGACTTCGTAAGGATCGATTGTGTACAGACCAAATCGCAACTCTACGGATCATTGTGAAACAATCAGTTGAATGGAATTCATCACTCTACATCAACTTCATTGACTACGAGAAAGCATTTGATAGGGTGGATAGGATAACACTATGGAGGCTTCTTCGACACTACGGCGTACCTGAGAAGATAGTCAATATCATACGGAATTCCTATGATGGATTAAACTGCCAAATCGTGCATGGAGGACAACTCACTGGCTCGTTTGAAGCAAAGACCGGTGTCAGGCAAGGTTGCTTACTCTCACCCTTTCTTTTTCTCCTGGTGATCGACTGGATCATGAAGACGTCAACATCTGGAGGGAAGCACGGGATACAATGGACAGCTGGGATGCAGCTGGACGATTTAGACTTCGCAGATGATTTGGCTCTTCTACCACACACGCAACAACAAATGCAGGAGAAGATGACCAGTGTAGCAACAGCCTCAGCAGCAGTAGGTTTCAATATACACAAAGGGAAAAGTAAGATTCTCCGATACAATACAGCATGCACCAATCGAATTACACTTGATGGAGAAGCTTTGGAGGATGTGAGAACCTTTACATATCTGGGCAGCATCATTGATGAGCACAGTGGATCTGATGCAGATGTGAAGACGCGGATCGGCAAAGCAAGAGCAGCATATTTACAACTGAAGAACATCTGGAACTCAAAACAATTGTCAGCCAACATCAAGATCAGAATTTTCAATTCAAATGTCAAGACAGTTCTACTGTATGGGGCGGAAACTTGGACAACTACAAAGGCCATCATCCACAAGATATAGGTGTTTATTAACAGTTGTCTACGCAAAATACTTCGGATCCGTTGGCCAGACACTATCAGCAACAACCTACTATGGGAGAGAACAAACCAGATTTCAGCTGAGGAAGAAATCAGGAAGGAGCGCTGGAAGTGGATAGGACACACTGAAGAAATCACCCAACTGTGTAACAAGGCGAGCCCTCGTATGGAATAACGAAGGCCAAAGAAGAAGAGGAAGACCACAGGACACATTACGCCGAGAAATGGAGACAGACATGAGGAGAATGGACAAAAGTTGAATAGAACTAGAAAGGAACGTCCAGGCCAGAGTGGGTTGGAGAATGCTGGTCGGCGACCTATGTTTCTTTGGGAGTATCAGAAGTAACAACTAGATTCACGAATGTCACACCATTAGTAGTTATCTAAGTTAATTTTGACATAAAATTAGTACAACTGCGGTAATATGTCAGCGACAAATTTTTACTATGTGCTTTGCTTCTATGTGTCTACGAATTAACTGTTTAACGACAATTTCCTTTGAAATAGTATACCTCTTGGGAATAAAGAAGACTTTTCCTTAAAATGAACAAGATTTTCCCCATCATCCCCTCTCTACTGACTGTCCGGGTTTTTAATGTTTTTTGTTGTTTTACAACCTGACCGCAAGGTGCTTGATCTCTTTATGCTTCGTAAGAGATGCCCTAATAATAAACTAAGGAATCTATTAACTACATTCTTGTTAATTATTTGACATATCAAATGTTTAGCAGGGAAAAAACAAAGCCCTGGGGACACTGTAACCAACATCCTTAGATGGAAAAAACCACATATCTCATAGATTAGTTCAGACTGCCACAAAGCAACATTTCATGTGACTACAGCGCCACACGCCCCCAAATGCCCTGGTACGGCCGAGAGTGGGGGAGTCCGCCCTCCCTCTCCAAATGCTCTCATATGGCCACGCGAATATATAGCCTCTGACAGGGAAGTCCTACTCACTGCCTTATCGTGGCATTATTGTTGTTTAGGAAATTGAGAGGACGAAAAGCCAATGTCCGATGCTTTAACCGGGTAAGTGGACACGGAAAGTTAACCTAGAGGAAATGGAAAACCCTGATTCCAAACCATTGGCGCACGTGGGCTCCAGTATCCTGAAGGAACGAATGGCGTATGAACCAACTGTTGGTCACCAGCTACCATGGGACTGCATCTCTTTACGATGCTCTACTGCCTTGTGGACTAGACCTTTAGGTCAAAGGCTCCGGGTGTGGCCCCCTAAAAAACCACCTGCTTCAGTCTGAGCACCCGGGTAATGTCACAGCCCTCATGCAAATCGAATGAGATTTGTGGGGCACATATATATCTGGTGCTTCCTTGTACCAATTTTATGTTTAAATAAATAAAACAGCGCCACACAAATAAATATAACGAAGGGCATCCAAATCAACTTGAAGGAAAACTGGCATTTAACTTACGTACCTTGTTATTCTTGGCTAAACGACCGCTTTCATAATCACTGTCATCTGACGAATCCAACTGCAAAGAAAAATAAAAAGTATGCACGATATTATGCAACAAACATACACTTACCGCCTCTAAGTCGGGGACGGAAAGCAAGACCTTACCGTCTTTTGTCTTGACAATAGGAATGTTTGGGACGAGGTTAGGCAGCTTAGCACTTTTAGGGACTCTCATTTTAAACTCAGGTTCAACTCGGTCTTTTAATATACTGCCAGCTGCTGTAGTACTCTCATTGCTGGCAACCAAATCTTCTTCTTCATCTTATTGATAAAGCTGTGACTTTTATACTACACTTACCATTTGACTCCTCCCCCGAACTCCCATAGGACACTAAGGCCATCACACGGACTTGTGACGCAAATTTCAAAAGTGACGGGAGTTTTTCCAAATCTAAGTGTTTCAAATTGTTGTGGCTGAAGCTTTAGCCAAATGGAATTCTGTATTCACTAGTAGTGGGTTACCGATACTTGAAAATACGAACTCAAGTTTAGTGAACTGTGAAAAGAGAAATATTAGTAAATTATAGTAAAATACTATCTCAAGTCCCTAGGGATATATCAGGTTTACTCTTAAAGAACTCCCGGGAAGTCTCTTGGACCATCTCATCTGGCAGCAAATTCAAGAATTTGGCTACTCACAGGTAGCAAAAGGTGTCTATATACTTCATTCTGCTAAGTCTTTAATTTATAGATGCTACACGAACGGTTTGTGTCGGGACTGAGCTTAATGATTGGGTGCTCAGGTGTTTAGGGTGCTATAAGTCTTTAAGAGTTCATCACTGAGACGCCGACACTGTGATGGGCAAGTATTCAGTGATTTGAGGAACTCTTAGCAAAGTTTGAATTTGGATTCTCAGACTGGTTCCGTTGCTCCCCACGATCCACTACATTCCCATCCCTTAGAAGTGAGGTAGGAAACATTATATTTCTGTGTTCTAGTTGATGTATATGTATAAAACTGTTAAAGATTAAATGGAACTTTCTAACATCAAACTGATCGAAGTTTTGCTTCATCGTTACCTGTAAAAGGTTTGCTCGAAAGGCATTTTGGTCGCAGTTAGCATGAGACCCTAGATCACAGGGTACCAAAACTCCTTGATCTTTTTCAATTTAGAATACTTCTTAAGAGAAGTTACCTGAGTGATGTGCGTAGCCTGCAGCGTGTATCAGATAGACTACTTCACACTTTGAAGTGTTTAACGCAGTAAGCTTGTTGTTATCTCCCCAACTTTGAGGTACAGTCAAATCCTTCTTAAGTGCCAGGTGAGCATCTTAGTTGCAAACTTCTCTCCAAATTTTCATGTCGTCAGCGGAAAGTAATAAATTGGATGGTACTTCCTGAGGAAGGTTATTTATACAAATTAAAAGGAAAAGAAATCCTTGGACTGAATTATGAGTGGTCCCACAAAGATAATCTTTAGCCAGAAGAAAAGTGATTTATCATTTCTATCTAACGCGACCCAGTTCATTAATGGTGACCCGAAGCCTAGTAGTTTAGGCTTATTGATGAGAAACGTTCACCTGGCCGTATCAAAAGCTTCTGAGAAGTCAAGGTTTGTAACATCAACTTTCCCCTTGGGATAAAGGATTGTTGTCCGTATATCAACCGTAGTCACTATATTGGTTTATAAAAGTGATTCTTCCTGAAAACGTGTTGCTGGGGTAACAAAGTTTATGGATAATAAGCGCTCGTATAGACTGTCGTGTATCAAGCACTTTATAACTTTTTAGTACAATGGTAGAAGTGTAACTGGCCGGTAGCCTGAAGGTTCAATGGATTGGCCCCCTACGAAAATTGATGTAATGTGAGCCAGGTTCCAATTCTATGGGACTGTGTCTCGGCTCAGCAAATGTGAGGACAGTGTTGTCAAGATTGAAGCCGATTCTCTCAGTATAGTCGGATGAATCATACCGGGGTCAGGAGAACTGTCTTTATTCAAATGCTGCAGTCTCTGATATGTCAATCTAACGTATTGGATCACTTCTCAAAGTTCATTCAGGTTTCAGGTACAGCTCTCGTAGACGTGGTTTGTACGTAATTGTTGAAAAGTTTGAAAATATTGTTCGAACATCTCCTTCGCTGTTGGTTGGATCACTAGAACATAACAATTAGTAAACTCCGGCACAGAATTTTCGAAAAGAGGCTCCATGACGGAATGATCTTTTCGGATTGGAGACAAATTTATAGATTCGATTTATCTGACACTGAAGCCTATCCCATTTGATCCATTTTTTGCATTGACTCCTTGCTTATTTGAACTTTTTTATATGCCGTCTTCGCTAGTTATTTTGTATTCCGCTCAGTAGTATCTTTCTAGTTTTAACATTCGAAGAGTGCGACTCTTTATGAATGTACGTTGCTCGTATTTTTAGGGACCGTTTGTGAAACGGACTAGTTTGTCGCACATAAGATCGTGCGCAGTAAAAAAATCCCAGTGTGTCCACATCAAATTGAAGGTGGAGTTCCAGGTTCACTTGCTGTAAGTTGTTTTGTAAAGCTGACACACCCAGCCGCCTGAAATTCATACGCTTGTTGTTCGTAGGATGTTTTAGCCCAGTTTTACTGGTAAGACAGAAAGTTGTGATGGCGTAATGAGTTTTCCCATAAGAGCCAGGACTGAGCGGTTGATAACTAGACATTCTTCATTTGTAAATATATGGTCTAAGCGTGACAGCGTCCAGCTGTTTCTTCACGGAGTTTCTAAATTCATACTAGCGAGCAATCCAAAATCTTCAATCAGGTCGAACGACCGAGTTTTAGTGGAGTTGTCACCTTCAGTGTACGTGTGTGCCAGCGAAGATGGCTTTAGGAAGAATAAAGTCTCTTAGAATCAGGATCTGAGTGCATACGGAACAAATAGAGTGGGATAATCCCTCCAGTACATGATTTTAATGCTTGTGACATCCGTATTTAGGCAACTTTTGCTTTTTGTTTGAAATGTGTGAGCTTCTTCATTCTGTTTGTCTGAATGAGCCTGGTGTAAAAGAATATTAAATTCAATAATGTAAGTTTCAAGTTGTAGGTAGAGATAGGTGTTAAACGCTGTTAGAAGTAGTGCAGAAATCTACATTTCCAGCTACCTTAGAACTACTTGGGGAATTGTGTAGTCTTCAGGTGCATCTCTCCGACAGTTTGTGCTAGTGATCAGACTGTCCGTTGTTAACAAGCCTAGATAGCTCTCCATCGACGTCCCGAATAGGTCGTTACCACGGAGTAAGTAATTAACCTGATGTTCTGTGTGCTTCGTAAGAGCATCGTTTGGTAATTGACGACAATGAATAGTGAAAGTCATATCAGGATAACAAGTCACTTGTTCTAATTAGTGAAGACCGTCAGTTACATTGATCATTATCGTATCTTATTCTTAGCCCTATATCCGCGAACAACTAGTTTCGGGATCTTTTCTGTCATCACTTGGGTATAGCACTACACAGAAATCTGTGGTTTGGATATGGTCCTGGTTGTTTAATGGTATACGGGGTTCAGGTGTTTAAGTTGTGAGAGCAATACAATGGGCATTAGCCTGATACAATTATTCAATATCAGTTTGATGTTTTGGTAGTTTTGTCTAAAAATTGGAATTCTTGACCTATTATCAGTGGCAGAAGTTATGGCAGTCAGCTTCGGTTGCAACTTAAAGGGCTACGAAAACGATAGAATATGGAGGTAATATGGAGTGCATCAAAAATTAGAATATGCGGAAAATTATGATGTATAATAACAATAAATCATATTCGTAAATCCATCGCTTCAGTTCATGAAGAATAGTCCTAGAGTACATATATTTTACTCAAGCATTATTTTAATTAGCTCTTGTGAGGAGTTGGTGGCAAGCGATTATAAAAAATGCATATTCATAATATGTAAGTGCAGACCACACTTAGACGTAAGTGTTTCGGTACCGTTTTAGTACCGTGACGGTTGCCTTTCAGATCCTCATGGTAGTCCAGAGATAAAACCATGTTCTTTAAGCGACTTAAGCTAAGTCTTAGGCTGTAAACCTTGATCAGGTAGCTACTTTTTGCTCTGTTGCAAAGGGTCAACAATTAGTCACAAGGTTAATTAGCTTACAGTTTAACCGTTTTAGTGAGACCCTCGTCATTTCCTTACGGAAATTAACCTTTTTTCATGATGGAAAGATTTACAATTTTTGAGAGGCCGGTTATACTTTTAAAATGCCACTGGTCATACTCAGGTGTATGTTGCTTCGCATGAGTAGTCAACGCTAGTGTTTAAGGCGTTTATTTGCATACGGCAATGGCAAAGCTTTTTCTAGATAATGAAGTGCTAATGACAACAGGGCAAGTAGTCACTACACCATATTATAAGAGTGAGGACGTTTATGAGCTTGGTCCGGATCATGCATTGATATCGGCAACTCAGGTAACCTTAAGACGTGTTAATTAGGTTAAATTGACCATGATTTCTAGTTTCAAATACATTGGTTTGATCTTGACTCCTAAAAGCTAGTGGAATAAAATTCCTTTAGAACTGAAGCCTGCATCCTTTCTGGGGTACACATCGCAGCATGAAGCTGGCATTTTGTGTTATGCTCAGCTGTGGCTAGAGTGGTCTTATTACTGATGGTACAAGTAATATTGACCTTGAAGATAAGTAAATTTTACCTGTTCTCAGTGATTATGAATTGATACAAGATCCCTTTTAGTTTGCAATGCTTCCTGATAGTCTGTCGGTTTATAATGGTTTAGTCTCACAAATTTAATACTGACAACAAAAGCTGGAACTTTAATGTTTTTAAAAGATGGATAGTTTGTGTAGATAGCTGATGGAGTTATGATACATGCTTGCATGTTTTTAGGGATGGCTACGATGATTTGGTTAATTCGTGAAAACATTGCCGAGGAAACCGCGTGAATTAGCTGGTGTTTACATCATATCACGGACATAAGACAATGCACTTCACTCGTTAGACATCAGGTGTTATTTTCTCCGGTCTCTAGACATTCAATTAGCGAAATACGAATGGGAATTTTATCTATCATAGGCCTCCCGATATGTGCGACTATCCTCTTTTGTACGGTATTTCATCCCTCGTCGCCCAAAAGTGATTCGATAGTGTGATAAAAATATACTATTATTATAACATAGTGAGTCCCCTAGTCTGACGTTACCTTGACGGTCTCTTAACAATAACAGGAAACATTCAGCTTCCACTGACAGAGTGAAGCATCAAGCCCTACTCAAGGACACGAACTGTGTCGCTCTTCGCTGCTTGACGGCCAACATAACAGATATGATAGTCATAATCATAATCATATTGGATACCTAAGAGTCGGGTCTAACTGTCTTGATCGGATGTCCTCTTCCCAGTTGAAGGTGACAATCTTCATTCACCTGAAAACAATTGATGCGTAGAAAAGTTGTTTGAATCCAAGCAGGGTTGATTACGATGACAGTCAAATGTAAAGTTCCATTCTTCAGTGGCTTTCAGGTCCCGTTCTTGTCTAGCATATACATCCTTATTTTTATCATTTTTCTCCTTAGAAATATACATCTTTTGTACTTTCTTCCTCAGCTGTCTTACTTTCTACCACTTAATCTAGTGAGTAAAATGCACAGCGATGTCTTCGTCACCAGTAATTACACCATAACTGCAGGGAAGATTAGTAGAGGTTTTGTTTCAGGGGTTGATAATATGTCAACAATCTATATATATAACAGAAGGATTATGAGAAATCTCGAAATAATATCAGATAGTAGGCCTCAGAATAATGTATACAGCGTGGGTTACTCGCCTCAAACGCCACAACCAAGTATCCAACTAACTAAACAGGATCAAATTACTACTCCTGGTAAGATTGGCAAGCAAAAAATAAATGATTCAAATGGTTCAAATAGTTGAGGACGGAATAGAAGAAGCTTTCACTTAACGGGCTTCCGTGTCTAGTAGCAGTGGGTTACCATTACCTGCAGGCCATGAGGAAAATTCCATAGGTTGACAACTTCAGAAGATATTGTGTTGCATAACGCCTTCTATGGTGATATCCGATGCATCAACCGCTATGCTAAGCGTGGCTGATGGGTCAAGATGAGCGAGGAGTGTCGTTTGAGCTATGGCCGTTTTGATCTCCGAAAACGCATCGTTCAACTCCAGTTTGCGTGGATTGCCACGAAGTAAGCCGCTAATGGTCGTAACCATTCTGCAGCGTGAGGGATGAAACGTCGTTAGAAGTTAACCAAACAGAGAAATGCCTTCAGTTCCTTGAGCGTGGATGGTGAAGTGTACTTCATTATTGCACGTACTTTGTCCTCACAAGATAAAATACCTTCTCGCTTGATGATGTGATCTAAGAATTTTGTTTCCAGTTTCCCAAGTTCACACTCGTCCGGGTTGATTATTATTCAGTTATTCTGAAGGCGTTTGAATAGTAGTGTTAGGTGCTGATAATGTTCATCTATGTTTAATGATGCGATTAGCAGTTTATCAATATAGACGTGAACAAAATCTAAGTTTCGTACTATGCTATCGATAAATCTTTATAAAGTTTGAGCAGCATTCCGTAGTCCGAATGGCATACGTGGCAACTCAAACAGACCGAAAGGAGTCGTGACAGCGGTTTTCTCGATGTATTCAAGAGCGACTGAGATCTGGTGATATGCTCGTACCAGATCGATCTTACAAAAAATAGTCGTGCCCTTGAGTGATGCCGTGATGTCAGGTATGTGAGGGATGGGGTAGCTATTGAAAAGCGTAACCGCGTTTAATGCTCGCTAGTCTCCAAATGGTCTCCAACTAATCCCATCCCTTTTGCGTACCATGGGGAGAAGTGAGGTCAAGGGACTGTGAGAAGAACGAATAATACCAGTAACTAATAACTCACGTTTGGCGAAAGCTAATTTGTTCGGTGCCATTCAGCGAGGTTTTGACGTGCCTGGGGGGCCGTGGTTGACTATATGGTTTACCACACAAATGGTTACTGATGAGATTTCCTATATAGGTTTGATTAATTGGGAGAATTTCTGAAATAAAGCGTGGAATATATCGTCACGCAAATGAAATATGCCTGTGATTTCGTTCGCGTTTGTATTTTACAGTTGGTCAAAGCATCGATTCGCTGCAGCCTACGTGACACGATCAACAATTCATAGAGCTATAGGAAATCGATACCGAGTATGGCTGTGGGAATATCGGCAATGATGGACGTCCATAGATACTGTTGTTGACTGCCAAAGTTGAAAGTCAGCTGTCCTGTACTGTAGGTAGGGATGACTGAGCCATTCGCAGAGCGTAGTTGAAGCATCATAGCTTGAAACCTACCGTTATCAATAGGTACGACAGAAACTTAAGCACCTGTATCTGCTAGGTACCTAGTGTTCGTGCAATAATCGTGCAATTATCGGAAGGCAACTGATGGTTGTAATAAGAAGTATTTGTTGGCGATCTCGTGGTATCTAAATAATACCGAGATCATGCCAAAGTTTACAAGCGGGACTACTGAGCGTACACGATGTCGTGCAAGGTCACAAAGCAACGGTAAGGTGTTTTCTGGTAGCATTAAGCAAACAGTACAATAAAACAATCACTGGTACAATCGGTTATAATAATCAGTAATTATATCAATGGTGTTCTTTTCATTAAAGTAGGCTACTACAACTGTATCAACTGGTACTACATCAGTAAAGCTATGCTGTCTGAGTAGAAACCACAATGTAGCGAAAAATAAGCCTACTTCATCCGGAGTAACTCTAAATTCAGCACACTTCATAAAATAATTCTTACAGGTATATCAGAAACTATCAATAAAAACCGTTTCACACAATGTGTCATAAGAGATACCTCTAGATTATCAGTAAACACCCAAGAACTAACTGACATGGTGGTGGACTGAGTGTCTGGGGTGATAGATGGTATTCGGGATGAGGCTCACGAACACGACGTCACACATTGGCTGTGAATACAGAAAGGAGGAGGACCTAAATGAGGTCCTTCAGGCTTGATACAGACGAAAGAATGTTCGATACTACCGGTTCAGATAATATTCCTTAACTTCACAAAAGCCTCAGATACAGTACCACAAGCACTCCTCATATAGAAATTTTGAAAGATGAGTTTCATTGACTCGCTAACTTTTTGCCTCCGAAACTACCTGAAGAACAGGATTTCCCGTACCACAGTAAACAGAGTGCACACGAACTAGATTATCTTGATATAAGGATTTTCACAGAGGACCATCTTAGGTTCGCTCATCTTCCTGATCCTTACTAATGACCTTCTAGATAGACGTAAGTCTGAAGCACCAGTCTATAGAAATGGTGAGAAGATCTGGAGGCCTTTCAATAGGCAATCACCCTGGAACTGTTTCTAACTCCTCTTAAAACGTACACACTGCCTTATTTTAAGGTCTGCAGTGTTGTCACGTCCCCTGTCTTTAGAAGAGGCATAAATCTCTTAGACCAATCATTGAGAAGAGCAGCTACGTGAGTGATTGGTCTAAAACATAAACCATACGAAGACAGGGTGCAACATTTGGGATTATTCCCGCAGAGCTACCCAAGAATAATATATGATGCAAGATGAGACTTGACAAGCAAATGCTCACCAATAGATTACAATCTCCTGCTTCGACCAGCTGTACCCTGATGCATGTTTTATAACTTGCCTAACGTTATCATCACCGTTTATCAGTAAATAAGTCGTGCAACAAAAGTTAATCTTCTGATAGTGTTCTTATCTTGTTTTGAATATCAAACAATCGAGTGTGGGAAGCTAGATCTTAGATCAAATGGATTAAATACTAATTTCAGTTGTTATCTCACTATTATTGAGTTATTGATCAAAAGAAACTCATTGAGTAACAAAAGGTTATTAGTTTTATACATTCAAATGAGATGAATCAATTAACTGTTTTCCTAAACGACCCTTCCCCAATAATAACTCCATAACTGACTTGTATAATATAATAAGAAAGCTAATTTATTATTCATTTATTACAAAACACTAGGTATTAATAAAAACAATATTATCAGTAGTATTATTAGTAGTAGTATTATAGAATAATAAATTAAAAATGTGAAATAAAATGGTATACTATGTGTTCTTCTAATACCAGGTTTATTGACAAATTCTTTTTTTTCAAATCAGTGAACTGGTCGTTAAGAAAAAGAAAAAAAACGAGTCGACAAAAAACTGACTAATTGAATAAATAATCACAGGTTTCATTCATTGAGCTTATAAGAACAATATTCTCCCTCCCTCTCTCTCTCTCTCTCTTTGTCTCTTAGATACACAGATGAAAAACAATCAAAAAAACTATTCAACATTCAATTTGTTACATAGAATAAGGTAATTCACAAAAAAAAACAAAAATTAATTTTATTTTTCCAATCCGAAAAATTTTTTTGTTGATTTGAAAAAGAGAAGGAAAAAAAACAAAAAGAGTAAAATGTATAAATTCCCTGAGACTAATTTACTACTCCCCCCCTCTCTTTTTCTTTTTTTTATGAAATTATAATAAATAATTTTTTTTCTTTTTTTTAAATGGTAAATAATTTGATAAAACTCTAAATTCTTTATTTTATTTTTTTGATAAAAAAAAGAAAAAAAAATGTGAAAAGACTTAGTATTGTAAACAAAATTGATTTTTTGTTTTGTTTTATCACATTCACATTTTTTTTCCACCTCCTTCTCTTCTTTCTTTTTTTTTCTTTTTTCTGTTCTTTTTCTTTAAATACATGAGGTTTGTTTTTTAAAAATTTTACTTCAAATAACAAACATGCCAATTACGTAATAAGGTTAAGAAAGAAAATAATAATAATATTTACTGGGTTTATGTCATGTTCAATGACTCAAATATGATAGTTTTATTAAATTGAATGTTCATATGGATACCTAAACCTTCATAAGAAGAAGGAGGAGGAGGAGGAGAAGGAGAAGGAGAAGAAAAGAAAGAACGAGAAGAAGAAGGAGAAGGAGGAGGAAGAGGAGGAGGAGAAGAAGAAGGAGGAGGAGAAGTATCTCTCATTATAGTGTTATACATTTGAAGAATAGGATTCGAAATATAAACATGAATGAATGCAAAACTTTACAAATGCAATGTAGATTTACATTTTTTGTTTGTTTAACTTATTCCATAGTGTTTATTTTTTCATCAGCTAAAAATAATTCATGCAAATACCATGGTAACTTATTATTATTATTATTATTATTATTATTATTATTATTATTATTATTATCATTCATTCCATAAGTTTGTGAAAATAAATCTTGTGCACACATAGTAACTGAACGTAATTCAGTTAAAGTCATTATAATTCTTGGCCAACATTGCGAACTAGATACTGGATATAGACCGGATTGTTTAATTTGACCACGTGTACGATTAACATAACGATTAAATGTTTCTAAAAGATTATTTTGATGATTTTCTATAGATTCAACATCTAATAAATCACTTCGATCTATATTGTTATAGAGAAATACAAAGGAAAAATAAAGATAGTGAGAAAAACAAAATGTAGTATACAGATTTACTTTTTTTAATTTAAACACATAAATATTGGTACAAGGGGGCACCAGATACATAGATGAGACAAACAAATCTCATTCAATTTGTGTGAGGACTGTGATAATGCCCAGGTGATACCCAGACCGAAGCAGGTGGTTTTCTCAGGGGGTCACACACGGAGCCTATGACCTAAAGATCTGATCCATAAGGAAGTGGAGCATCGTGAGGAGATGCAGTAACATGGTAGCCAGTGACCAACGATTGATTCATACGCCATTTGTTCCCTCAGTATACTGGATCCAGCCCATGTGCACCAATGGTTTGGAATCTGCGTTTTCAAACTCTCCTAGGTGAACTCGCCGTGTCCAATAACCCTGTTAAAGGCTATGAGAGACCTAACCTATATATATAGCATTGGCATACGAAATCAATAATTATTGGTTTGAACTGCGAAGGTAGATGTATATAACCTGGTAATTGAAAACATTGGCTAAAGTGGGTTATCTTATTTTTTACACTGAGTCCCACTATTGTTTCATATGTATCTTCTTTTCAATCCGTCTTTTAGAACAGTGTTCCGAATGACTAGTTTTCTTAAAAATCATAGCTGCTATACTGTTTTGATCCATTGGTTACTCGTATATTTAAGTTCGCCTAGTATATTAGCTTGTGTTAAAATCCATTTGTGATAATCCCTACATTGAACAACAGCGACTGGCTGACACATAAGATTATAGCCAGCTGGAACGAACTCGTCAAGATATAATTAATTTACATTAACTTAGTTCAATTTTTAATCTTACTCTATTTAAAACTGGTTAAAAGTCTGTTTGGTGTGATAGATTAATGATTGAATCAGTTAGATCTATAACCAATAAATACAAACATTACACCACCTAGTTCTCATATTTAACCGAGACATTCTGTAATTTTGTAACAAAGCACAATCGGTTGTCCCCACTTATGTTCTCGTTCACAACTATAACAATCACTGTACTGGTGTGATTTGAAAAATTTTAAGATTATGAATTATACTACTAAGAATTTGAGAAAGTAGAAAAATGACTACTTGAAAAAGAAACTAGTAGATATATATAGTCCATGCAATTTATTTATTTATTTATTTAAACAAATAAATATTGGTACAAAGGGCACCAGATATATATGTACCACACAAATCTCATTTGATTTGTGTGAGGGCTGTGATACTGCCCAGGTACCCAAACTGAAGCAGATGGTTTTCATAGGGGGTCACACCCCGTGCCTATGACCAAAAGGTCTGATCCACGAGGCAATGGAGCAACATAAGGAGATACAGTCCCATGGTAGCCAGTGACCAACGATTGATTCATACGCCATTTGTTCTCTCAGGATACTGGAGTCAGTCCATGTACACCATTGGTTTGGAATCAGGGTTTTCCAACTCCCCTAGGTGGATGCATTGTGTCCACCAACCCGATTAAAGCATCGGACATTCGCTTTTCGTTCTCTCAATTTCGTAAATAACACCCCCACCACGAGAAGACAGGGACTACGACTTCGTGGCAGAGGCTGTATACCCTTGGTCGTGTGAGAGCATTTCGAGAGAGAACTGACTTTCTCCACTCTCGGCTGTACAAGGGAACTTGGGGGCACTCCATGCAATACATTCCAGGTTGTTATGTTGAAATCATGAATAATAAAAACTTCGACTACAGTTAGTGTTTGGAGTGTCTAAACTAACTTGTACGATTTTTAACATAACATTTCAATAGAAAATAAACAGAACACTGTAAATTTTAAAAGCAAATTTCCCTCTGTCAAGTTGATTCCACTATACACAATACTATGTGCTAAGTAATATAAACGATATTAGATAAATATCTATCATATATTACTTCCAAATGCATGTGTCAATTTACATGTAAAATGCAAAAGGATATAGATTGTTAAGAGAGAAAGATGACTGGCTCCATTAGGTATTTCCTGCAGTTCTAGTGAGTGGAGTTCAACCAGGTCTGTTGTAAGATATCAACTCACTGAAGACAATGGTTAATGGTTGCTCGAAATCGTGGATTGGTTGAAGTTAGACATTCACACCGTTGGATACCGGCCAGCTCAGTGGTCTAGTGGTTAAGCGCTCGCGCGCGAGACTGATAGGTCCTGGGTTCGAATCTCGTGAGGCGGGATCGTGGATGCGAACTGTCGAGGAGTCCCACAATAGGACAAAACGGTCATTCAATACTTCCAGGTTTTCCATGGTGCTCTACATTCGATTGATTCATGATTACAACTATATAAAATTACTAAAATCTCCACAAAACCGCCTTCTAATGAGAACGATGAAAGTCTACTCCTTTTAATGTTCATCTTGCGAAACACTTACACCTTTGAGGAAAAAGTTGTTCATGGAGTTCAGTAGTAAACCACTTACTAAACAAGGGACACTATGTGAATCTAATGCATTTATTCAACGCTATCGATAAACAACTCAATTGCATATTATTAAAATTAATAGAGACTGTAGCAACTAAAAAGCTTATACGTGACCTTTGAGTCAATAGTTAACCTCAAAATGCCTTGGTAACAGCTTGACCCTTTTTTTCAACTAAATATATTCACAATTTAGTGAGTTGACCTGATATGTTCACTTTTTCTATCTAAACTTACAAAATTTTGTTTTATTCATCAGTAAAATTGTCTTACTATTCTGGAACTGTTACTTTAACCAACTATTTAAGGACCTGAATCTAGGTGACAAGGCTCAGAATCGACCACAATAGAATAGATGTATACACCCCTTGACTTCCCTTAAACCGTGAGATTTAAATTACTTTATACCTTTCTTTCTACGAACTAATTTATTCACCCTATATCATATTCTTATATACAATCTTTATTTATATATTACTACCAGTGAAATGACTGCTACTATGAATTCGTTGTTCATGTTGTTGCGCTGATGAGGTGTGGACCGATGCATATTTGTGCCCGGTCCTACGTTGTAGCCGACTGATTGACTGACCCGCTTTTCTTAAAGCTACAATTCTTTTTTTCAGAGGGGGTTTTGTGGAGAATTTAGTATTTTCACCGTTGAAATCATGAGTCAATTGAAGCTAGCTCACTGAAAGCAATTGGTGAACGGTCGCTCAAAATCGTGGATTGGTTGAAGTTATACATTAACATCACTGAATGCCGGCTCAGTGGTCTATCGGTTAAGGGCTTCGGCTCGAGACTGGTAGGTCCTGGGTTCGAATCTCTCAATGCGGGATCGTGGATGCGTACTGCTGAGGAGTCCCGTAATAGGACGAAACGGCCGTCCAGTGCTTCCAGGTTTTCGATGGTGGTCTAGCTTCAATTGACTCATGATTTCAACTGTGAAAATCCTTTTTTTCACACTGTACAAAGTTTATTCATCATTGTCTGACGATTTAATTTTAACCATTATATTATTGTCAGAAGGGGTTTGGTGGAGACTTTAGTAATTTTTTAGAGTTGAGATCATGAGTCAATTCAAGCTAGACCACCATCGAAAAACTGGAAAACCTGGAAACCGGATGTGCACTGCTGAGGATTCCCACAATAGGATGAAACGGCAGTTCAGTGCTTCCAGGTTTTCGATGGTGGTCTAGCTTGAATTGACTCATGATCTCAACTCTATAACATTATATTATTCATTGGAAATAATTAAAAATGCTACACTATATGTATAAATCTATGAATTGGTTCTTGTTGTATAATTCATTTAGTACTAAAAATATAAGGGTACAATAGAGTATCATACAGCAATTAGGTAAGTGCTACCATAGTTGAGTATATGTGATACATCTGGTACGTGAAAGTTTGACAATGACTTTCTAGCCTCTTCCTAATATTCCAGAATTCTCCAAAACTTGAACAGGGAGCATGAACATAAATTTCTCAATTAAGTTTAGATTTTGTAAAGAGAATAAAAGTGGTCTTGGCATTCTGGAAGTTTCTGAAGCTCACCGAATTTGGTAACAAAGTATATCACTATCCAGTCAAGTGACACAAAAGCTGTTACCGTTTCAAACATTTCCAAGGAATTTTCATTACATTTTTTACTTATTTAAACACATAAATATTGGTACAAACGGGCGCCAGATATATATGCGCCAAACAAATCTCATTCAATTTGTGTGAGGACTGTGATAATGTCCAGGTGATACCCAGACCGAAGCAGGTGGTTTTCTCAGGGGGTCACACACGGAGCCTATGACCTAAAGATCTGATCCATAAGGAAGTGGAGCATCGTGAGGAGATGCAGTCTCATGGTAGCCAGTGACCAACGATTGATTCATACGCCATTTGTTCCCTCAGTATACTGGATCCAGCCCATGTGCACCAATGGTTTGGAATCTGCGTTTTCCAACTCTCCTAGGTGGACTCGCCATGTTTACTAACCCTGTTAAAGCGCCGGACATTCGCTTTTCGTCTTCTTAATTTCGTAAACGACAGTAATATCATGAGAAGGCAGTGAGTAGGAATTCCCTGGGAGAGGCTACATGCGTGTGGCCATGTGAGAGTACTTCGAGAGGGAGAGAGGACTCTCCTTACTCTCGGACAGTACAAGGGTCGATCATCATATAATGACAATCGTACGACGTGTTTCCAGTTTTTTCAGCTTCTGAGCGTTTTTTTCAAATAATTATTAAACGCTTCCAACATTAAGGCATACTTTTTCATCATTGATTGAATATACTATACAGAACCTCAAATTAATTGGGAAGCAATAGATGAAAGTCAAATCAATAGTTAGACAATAGTTATCAGAAGGGGTTTTGTAGAGATTTAGTATTTTTCATAGTAGAAATCATGAGTCAATTGAAGCTAGACCACCATCGAAAACCTGGAAACACTGGACGGCCGCTTCGTCCTATTATGGGACTCTTCAGCAGTGCGCATCCACGAACCCGCTCTCGCGAGATTCGAACCCAGGATCAGTTGAAGTTAGACATTAACACCGTTGGATGCCAGCTCAGTGGTCTATTGGTTAAGAGCTTCGGCTCGAGACTGGTAGGTCCTGGGTTCAAATCTCGCGAGAGCGGGATCGTGGATGCGCACTGCTGAGGAGTCCCATAATAGACAATAGTTGACAATTTAAACAATTTGGATATTTTTTCTACTGTTACTTCAATGAAATTTATTGCTTAATTCAAAATTTGTTTAGATTAGTAATCTTTACAATTACTTATTCATTTCTTAACTATATGAACCATTGAATCAACCTCTTATATTAGTAATCAATATAAGTTCTATCATTATATTACTTGTCACATCATCAATGTAATTAAGTTATTTAGATACAGGTATTATAGTATTTGATCATTTAAATTGGTTTAAAATCATCAACAAGTCAGGTAATAATTGTTGACAAGTTACATTATAGTTAATGAGTAACCATAGTTCTCCATAAACGTGATCTATCTAATAAATCTTTGTTGAAAGAATACTTCTTATATAAACTATTATCTTTCATGGTAAGATGAATGTCAATTTTACAGACTACAATAATAATCAACAAAATCATTAAGATAAACAAAAATAGATAGTGGTTGGCAGTGGAATATAGTTTGATCCGAGTTTCGTCCTATTTGGGACTCATTAGCAGGAGATACATGCATATCAGAGTTGATGTTCACTCTGAGACTCGAACCCAGTATCTTTCGCTTTAAACATAACAACTTTATTTACTCGGCCACTGAGTTCTGATAGCCACTTGCTTGTGAAATGCGGTGAAGTTTAAATTCACTCTGAGATGTAGGTACATCAAGCTGACGAGTCCCAAAATAGGACGAAATACACGTTAAACTGGATTCCACTGCTAGTCAGTCAGTCAGTCAGTCACAACGTAGAACTTCGTACGTACGTACATCAGTTCGAGTTGCCATACCACATTAGCACAGAGATGCAGTTGTCGATTCAAATCCCATAGTGGTAGAAGTAGTAGGAGTATAATCAGAAATCCGAAAGATTAGGGTTTGAAGAAATTATTGAAGGAGTATAACACAGTGAAATAAATTTGGAAAGAGAAAAACATAAAGACATGAGAAATTCAGAAGATTAGAATTTGGGAAAACACAAAGAGTGGATGCACCTTCACCATTGCAAACGATTTTGAGCCATGTCATTCAAGGTCTCTAACCATCGGTTGCTGTCATCTCGCGAATCCCAACCAGGTAGTCTACACCTACCAATATGGCCCAGTCCAGTTGTCAGTGACTTCATTGATTTGTGCCACGTTTTGGTCTGGCCACCCCTAGCTTTCTTCCAACCTACTCCTACACCATGAAACATTGCACGTCGGGGCAGTCGGTAGTCGGGCATACGTAACACATGTCCCAGCCATCTCAACTGATGAAGTTTCACTACTTCATCAATCGATTTGCCATCCCTACCTAGCACTTGTTTCCTAACAACTGCATTACTTACCCGGTGGTCTCAGGAATACGAGCCATGCTTCGAAGACACCTATGATCGAATACTAGTAGCCTACGAATATCCTCTACTCTTATCGGCCATGTTTCACTGCCATAAATTAGGACGGAGCGAACTGCTGCACAGTAAACCCGTCCTTTGGTTGCTAGACGGATATCTCGCCTACGCCATAAATGACGCAAGTTGGCTAAAGCTAGACGAGCCTTCTGTATCCGTGCTGAGATTTCGTCACATACCAGACCACAAGGGCTGGTGAGACTCCCAAGATAAGTGAAGTGATCTACACGCTCAATTACTTCACTCCCTATCATTAGTTCAGGTGTCGCTGCAACCCAATCCTGAAGTAATATTTTGCACTTCGAGGGAGAGAATCGCATCCCGAACATGCCTGCAACTGCTAGTCACTATCCATCTTTACTTATAATGTTTATGAATTAAGTCTATATCGAGGCAATACACACAGTATGCACATATGGTCAATAAGAGACTGACCAGTTGCAGTCCTAAAAGCATCAATGAGAATATTCAAACAAGCAATACTAAGTAAACTTCTATCTAAACTCACTTAGTATTGTTTTGTTTGAATCTTCCCATTGATGTTTTAGGACTGTAACTGCTAGTAACTATCCATCTTTTCTATCTAAACTATTTACCGATAGTTTATTGTTTGTTAGATCAATCAATAAAATTGATTATCCTCATTCTTAAAAGAGTTCTTATCTCTGTCTAAAGAAACAATAATCAATCCTAAACTGATACAACCATTCGGTAATCATATATGATTAACCAATGAGTATTCAAAACATTGAACTCAATGATAACTTAACATTGAATGTCCTCAAATTGACCTTATTTCTAGCCTAAATAAATTAGATAGAAAGAAAATCTAAGTAAATAAGTTGATAAATTATAAAGTGATATTTCTACTTACCAGGAGACATTAATAAAATAGCTGCCATCATTGCAACATCCGTTTGATCAATATTTAAACGTGCCATTTTTAATGCTACACCACGAATTATTTGAGCAAATTTTTCATCAGATATACCAAGTTTTGGATATTGATTATTAGGTATATATGGAGGTGTTATTGTATTATATTGATGAGTTAAATTTGATTGATTATTTGACGGTTGTGATATTGATGTTGTTGTTGTTGTCGTCGTCGTCGTCGCCGTTATTATTGAACCTCGAATCAATAATGAATGATCAACTAATCCTTGAATTTTAGCTGATTTACTAAGACAATAAGCTGCTCTTAAAGTGATCAGATCAATACAACAGCCACATAATAAATGAATTTGATCATCTGCTTCAAGCTTTTATAATAAGTAAATAAAGGGAAAGGTTTTAATTGTTTTTTTTCTTCTAATTAGTAATTTGACTTAATACTGTAAATCAGCACGCTATAAGTAATACGATAATAGTTCATCATGTGATCAACACAAGATGTCGGTATCGTCAGTTTTCATAAACTACATTAAACCGTAATACATAGTCATTAAATGATATCATAATAGTATGCTTTTATATAGGTCGTGTCATTAATACATATCCACTTTTACTTATGCATATGGTGTCCGATCTGGACGAAAAGTATGTTTAGATAAGATGGTAGTTTGAAGTAGTCGACAGAAAACGCTGGACCTATATTTCGTACTACTTTGCACTCGTCAGCAAGGTGTAATTGTAACTTTGAGGGATCTGATACTCCCTGACGGATTCAATCCTGTGTCACTCAGCTTCACAGTCAGAGACGTTGCCACTAAGCTATCTAGGCCATGATCAACTTCCTGTAGAACTGAGATGTATTTATAATTGATTGATCACTGGGTAGTGATCAATGTCATATGTGTCAAGTTCTTCATAATGCAAATCGAATCTTATCAATCAAGTATGTTTTAAATATTGAATTCTGTTGAAATCAATCTCTTAATAATACATTACTAGATATTAATTAAACAAACACTGTGCTGAACAAAAGAGTTGACCCTTATTGACCCGAAGGTTATCACATAATTTAATTCAATAAAAACATTGTTTAACCAACTGACCGAATTTGTTACCATCTAAACTGATAACAGTGGATATAATTAGGTTATCTCTTGTTTTTTATAAACTTTTATAAAGCCAGAACAAATATTAATACAGAATAATATGAATTATATTTGGTGGTTTCTAGTCAGCTGTTTACAACAAACTGAGATTACGAGGAATCAGGGCTTTCAACAGTGCAATAGCTCAGCATTTACTTGACACCGAGTGTACCATTAATAAGTCTCATGCTTTCAAAATTATTAGCAGACAAAAAAGTACGACTGCTCTCCGGTTTGCTGAAGTGATCACAATAAAGAAAACTGAAACCGGATATATGTATTCAAAAAGAGACTGTAATAAACTTATTACTACCTTGATAATCCAATTTTTTTTGTTTTTTTTTTGATTATTAGTTTTGTTTCGGTTAATATTTGGTATTGTATTATATTCCTCTTCCATTACCCAATTCTTAAACCACCTTTACATTCACACATTTCCGCTCACGTGATTCTCTTAAATTATGTGAACTATTCAATTATTACGTAACCCATTTTATACTTTATTATCTCTAGAATTATCACACAATTTATCTTATCTGCCTATGAGCTCCACTCAACTATTATACCACCCATCCTTTATGTTTCTTTGATTGCAATACCTAATTACATCTGACCTGTTCTTGAACAAAATTACCATAAGCATTTCAAAAGCTATAATTACAAGTCTCGATTTTATCAGAAGGGGGTCTGTGGAAATTTTTAGTCATTTTATAGTTGAAATCATGAGTCAATTGAAGCTAGACCACCATGGTAAACGTGCAAGCACTAGACGGCCAACTCGTCCTACTGTGGGATTCCTCAGCAGTTAGCATCCACGATCCCGCCTTACGAGATTCGAACCCAGGACCTATCAGTCTCACGCGCGAGCGCTTGATAACTAGACCATTGAGCAGGCATCCGATGGTGTTAATGTCTAACTTTAACCAATCCATAAAATTTCGCCACCATCCACCATTGCCTTCAGTGAGTTGATATCTGAGGAATCCCACAATAGGACGAAACGGTCGTCCAGTGCTTCCAGGTTTTCTATGGTTGTTTAGCTTCAATTGACTGATGATTTCAACTACATAAAAGTGATATTATCTATTAGTTAACTAAATCTTTCACAAACTATTAATTTGAAAAATAATTGATCTATTTATATCTTTAAAATCTAGATAATACTACTTCGTATTCCGTTGCTGGCATCAATTCCTTCAAGATTATATATATTTCTTACTGATGAGTATCAGTTAACATAAAGCCTAAGTTTAGGTCTTCCTTTCAATAATCTTCAGTCATCTAATACTTTAATGAACACAATTTTAAAAACCTATCGTGTTAGGGATGTATTTTTGGAAAGTCACTTAGTGTCGTGGGAATTTTATTTCCCCACGTATAAGAAGTAGGATTACGAATACAATATAGCTGACATACATATAATGAAGGTGATACATCAGACATAAGACCTTTACTATACTCTTAAATATCCTTCTATAAGATTCGTTATTGAAGTAAAATTATTTTGATAATCCATTAAAACTTACTGTATCAAATCCTTGAATTTGTTTAGCAAATTTCACTAAACGTGTTATTGCTGGTTCAATAAGATAAGCTAAATCATGAAATGTTGTCATATAAAATGTTCTAGCATGTTGAATATCTTCTTGTTCAACTTCATCTAACTAAAACAATAGAAACAATTACAATTCAAATAATTATAAGCAAAGATGAATAGTGGCTAGCAGTGAAATTCAGTTTGACTCGCGTGTTTCGTCCTATTTGGGACTCGTCAGATGGATGTACCTGAATCTCAGAGTTGATGTTTTACTCTGGGACTCGAATTCAGTACGGTTTGCTTCAAACACCATCATGTTATTCACTTATCTACTGAGTCCTGATAGCTACCTGCTGATGCAATGGCGTGAAGTTTAAATTGACTTGGTATTGTTTGCTAGTATCTTCCCATTGTTGTTTAGGTCTGTAATTGATCAGTCGCTTGTTAGCATATGTGCATACTGTGTGTGTGACGAGTCCAAAGTAGGACAAAACATATATCGTGGATTTCACTGCTAGCCACTATCCATCTTTAATTATACTGCTTGTGACTTACGGGCAATATTGAGGCAATCCGTACTCGATTCACATATGTCAATAAGAGACTGATCAATTATAGTCTTAAATATCAATGGGAAGATTCAAGTAAACAATACCATTATCGTAAAAGGTCACTAATATCTCTTTTCTTTGATTTTCATAACCTTCCACTGCCAGGCATTTTACTTTCCATTGATGATATATACTACTTATATCTGACGACATCAGTAGCACACACCACAGTACTCTAATATTATGTTTGATCATATTTTTGTGTTGTTTAATAGTGAAGTTATAAATTCACTATTCGATGGATCTGCTTTTTTGCAAATGAATTCATGAATGTTTATGTTTACATTAGGCTATTTCAAACTGAACTGATGATTGCTAATAGAACTGTATTTTTGGTTACGTTTACACTCTGTTAGTCACATTCTAGGGGCACAGTTTACCTAAAGAACTGCCGGAGAGACTGAGACAAATACTTACAACGGCGTAGGCGTATACACTCTTTATCTTCCCTTAAACCTTGAGATTAAAATAGCTCCATATCTGTCTTTCTTCCTGTACTACATCCTTACATACAACCTATCTTTGATATATTGCCACCACCACTAAATTAACTACTTCTATGAATGAGGTGTTCACCTTGTTGTGCTAACGAGGTATGGCAACTTGGACTGATGCATATGTGTGCTTGGTCCTACGTTGTAGCTGACTGACTGGACTGACTGAAAAAATATCTGAAGCCATAGCAAACTTTATAATTCAAAGAGGACTAGATCATTTTTTTACTTAAGCTTTGATAACAGTCAGAATTGCTGAAGGATTATCAAATCATCATAACATTAAGAAGACTTTATATCTAAAGAAAAACCTAGAATAGATTTATCTTGGTTTACATTAAGGCGACTACTAAATAGTTAAGGTGTTCGACATCCAACCATTACATCCTAGCTTAGAACCCTGTCATATCTTCTTCTGTTTGATCAACTAAACAACATCATTAACCCCTACACTTACAGTATAGCTCACTCTTAAGTGCCTGATAAATGAAGTGATTCTATTATTTTTAAAAAACTTTTTAAATACTAAATTGGCTTCATACCAATACTATGTGAACTATAATCCATAGAGTATGGTCAGTAATGAGAACATATAAGGATAGTTACTGTTGGACATTTAACGTATAATTGATTATAACCTCAACTTTTGGTTATATAAATCCGATTATTATTACTTAAACTAACTTTTATTAAGTATGATTTATAGTTTGATAGTATAATCCAAATATACTACTGAATAGTTTATTTTTTAAAAACAACCTATTGTCAATTTGGATTAATGTAAAATAACATTCACAATACATAAAGTCACATGTTGAACTAATCATGAAACAACACCCAAATGCCCTGGTAAGGATGAGAATGAGAAAAGTCCGCTTTCCCTCTCCAAATGCTCTCACATGGACACGTGTATATAGCCTCTGCCAGCGAATTACTACTCACTGTCTTCTCGCACGTGGGGTATTGTTTACGAAATTGAGAGGACGAAAAACCAATTTCCGGCTATAGTAGGTAGTATTAATTTCTGTGAACGAGAAGTTAGGTAGGGATAACCAATTACTTATTTCATACAAAATTACAGAGTTCTTTCATAAAATGTGAAAACCATACGTTCAATATGTCACTTATAAATACTCCATCAATTGTCTCACACTTCATTGTTCCATCATTGCTATAACAATTACTCTCTGTTCACATGTTCTTCGATTACATCTTTCCAATCTTGTGCTTCTCAGTATTCCACTTCTGATTGGTGTCACATACTACTTATGTTGACAGACATCAACTCTGAGGTGCAGGTACATCCAGCTGATGAGTCCCAAATAGGACGAAACACGCGTCCTGGATTCCACTGCTAGCCATTATCCATCTTCATACAATAGTTATGATAATTCTGTTTATTCAAGGATTTGTGTAATGCTTTTGATTAGAACAAAAATATTTACACATACTTATAAGTATAGTTTACTCTCTGATTCATGAAGTTGTAGGATTACATTTGGTTCATTTTATAAGTACAGATCAATGTACTCAACTTTTCAGTCACATTCTTTAGCATAAAAAAGGATTATTTTATTCGGTTATTCATGTCAAATTAGGTAGAGTAGGGTTCGAACTAGTAACCTACTGATTGAAAACCTAGTCCTTTAACCAATATGTTTCTTCACTCTTGATATCCAATTAATAGAATGATTCATCTTTTTTACGCTTAGTATTTCTCATCAAACCAAAAAAAAGTGGGCAATTCAACTTTATATCATTAACATAATGAATATTATAATTACTTACTTACTAACTAACTAACCAACTAACTAACTATTTTACTAATTACTTACTTACCTACCTACTTACTTACTTACTAACTAACTATCATACCTACTTACTTACTTACTTACTTACTAACCAACTAACTAACATCAATAAATTCAATTTACCTTTGTGAGAAATCCGGTCACATGTGAATCCACGATACTTTTAATTACAAATTCACCTGAATTCTGTTGAGAATTATCACCAGATTGTGTAACATCTTTATTATTTGTACCAGATAATTGATTTTGAATTGTTTTATTATTAGGCTTGAGAAATACACATACAAAGATTAATGTAAATTTCTTATTTAACAATAAATAATCATATTTATTAGAACGGGGGTTTTGTTGAGATATTCAGTCAGTCAGTCAGTCAGTCACAACGTAGAACTTCGTACGTACGTACATCAGTTCGAGTTGCCATACCATATTAGCACAGAGATGCAGTTGTCGATTCAAATCCCATAGTGGTAGTAGTAAGAGTATAAGTATTATGTGAAAGATTAGGGTTTGAAGATGTTATTGAAGGAGTATGATACAGTGAAATAAATTCGGAAACAGAAAAAAGATAGAGACATGAGGAATTCAGAAGATTAGAATTTGGGAGAACACAAAGAGTGGATGCACCTTCGCCACTGCAAACGATTTTGAGCCATGTCATTCAAGGTCTCTAACCATCGGTTGCTATCATCTCGTGAATCCCAACCAGGTAGTCTACACCTACTAACATGGCTCAGTCCAGTTGTCAGTGACTTCAGTTATACCCGTAACTGTTGAGATATTAGTAATTTTATATAGTTGAGATTATGAGTTAATTGAAGCTAGATCACCATGGAAAACCTGGAAGCAGGATCGTGGATGCACAGTGCTGAGGAGTCCCATAATAAGACAAAACGGCCGTCCAGTGCTTCCAGGTTTTCCATGGCGGTCTAGTTTCAATGGACTCATGATCTCGTTTATATAAAATAATATTTATTATTGATAGATTTAATGATATAAGTATGTAGCGGAGTTGAAATCGCCACGTATGACGTGGCAGCGCCAGATTCTATTTTCTTTTTATTACAGGGCAACCACACATAAACTCTTTGGAGGAAGAAGAGCAAGCCCTACATACACTGAGCTTACAGCATGAGTCATAAGACTACTTCCCTCTGTACTTCCCTCGCGAATTTTGACTCGTGACTTCCACTCCGTGTGTGTGAAGTTGTCGATTAACATTGTGTGCTTTGTTTTCAGATCTGTCCTGCCTTCTTTTGACTGCTGATTCCACGTATTACACATATATTAATATTTTAATTAAAATGGAATGTAAACAGAATAGGGGAGATATACAATGGCTTAATCAGATATTAGCCAGAAGATAAACATATGAGATTGGTCCGGATTTACATTTTATTTTTAAGGGAATGAGACACACACATATGGTAGAGATATGTGGCTCAAATTTCTATGGGATATATATATATATATCAGTTTCCCCACTCAGGTAGTTGGTTGGGCTGCGCATCGAAGCTAATGTATCAATATCATAGTCGGACACAACAGAATACAACAGACAAATGATTAAACGTATCTACAGTGAACCTAGTTCACTCAAATATTAGACAGGCTTCATTTGTGACTATATGTATGTGAGATAGTGATACTAACTAGCTTCACAAATCTATATAAAGGAGGTAGGGTTCGAATTATTAACTTAGTGGTTAGAAGTCTAGTGATTCTATCTCTAATCCATCTATCCGTCAAAGATATACCATTTAATGTTATCACATTTTACGAACGCATAGAAACACAACAGAAATGAAATAACGTTTGAGTATAGAAAGAGGGAGACATATTCCAAACACTATAAAATTATTAACCAAAACTCTTAGAAAACTACATTTTGTCAGCGTCTTCTTCCAGAAAAAATGTATTGTCTTAATACCACAATTTGGTGAAATAGCCTCTTTGTAGGGCATCAACGGAAGTGTCTCTCTTGGCACTAAATTACAAAATATTAGAGAAAATGGACACAATTTTCAGAATACTAAAACATGACCTGACAAGTAAATTAATTCATGACTAAGTTTACCGTTTTTCGCCCCCAAATGCCCTGGTACGACCGAGAGTGAGTATAGTACGCTCTCCCCCTCGAAATACTCTCACATGGACACGCGTATATAGCCTCCACCAAGGAAGTCCTACTCACTGCCTTCTCGCACCACGGGTGTTGTTTACGAAATTAAGAAGACGAAAGGCGAATGTCCGGCGCCTTAAACGGGTTGGTGGACACAACGCATCCACCTAGGGGAGTTGGAAAACCCTCATTCCAAACAATTGGTGCACGTGGGCTGACTCCAGTATCCTGAGGGAACAAATGGCGTATGAATCAATCGTTGGTCACCGGCTACCATGGGACTTCATCTCCTCACGATGCTCCACTACATTGTTGGTCAGACCTTTCGGTCAAAGACTCCGGGTGTGGCCCCCTAAGAAAACCACCTGCTTCAGTTTGGGTACCCGGGTAGTATCACAGCCCTCACATAAATCAAATGAGATTTGTGTGACTCATATGTATCTAGTGTCCCTTCGTACCAATATTTATGTGTTTAAATAAATAAATAAGTTATCCTATTCATTCTTCACTCCGTTAAGCGTAGAGGGCACAATAATTTTCCCCAATACAAATCAGTTTTTTCTCTATTAGTTTTCCTAAATAAATTCCAAGGATAGATAGTCCTCCACTAACCACAATCAGAGCTGGTGAATAAAGATGAAACACTTCTATTTTCGCTGTTGATTTAACTCAAGAGACAGACAGGTTATTTATTTGTTGGGTTTTTATACAAAATCCCTCATCACTGCATATTTCTTCTCGGTTTAACGCACCTACTTTAGAGTTAATGTCAATCATCAAAATTGCTAGATTTCATCTTCTTGTGTTCCGAGTAAGTTAAATGGCTAGTGGTAGAGTTTGTCTTTTGTTACATAACCACCAGCTTATATCTTAATCTTTCTAGGTTCAGAATAGTGAGACTGCATACTGACTTATTTGACATTTCGGTCTACATAATCTTTAACTTCAATAAAGTTGAATAACGAAAAGCCGTAAAATCCAGGATGCACATTTTATCCCATTTAAAACCCTTCAGCTAAATATTAGCTGTATTTTAATGTTGATGTTCACACTCAGACTTGGTCTTAATGACCTGGAAGCGTGACTGCAGTGCTCAAGGGATAACTGCTTGAGATCTGTCACACATGACCATTTTGTGCGTAATTTTTGTGTTAGCTCCGTACTTGTTGAGACCTCACCGCCGGAGACGGATATCTGTGGGATAAGGCGAGGTGTGCATTCTTAGGGTCGACCTTTTCTAACCCCAACCCTTCTTGTGGGAAAGCAGCATCGCTGTCATGCTGGTTGTCTGAAGGAAACACCGTACTGCCGTCTCACCTCTGTACAGTCAGCAGTACGACTTCGCCTTCCGACCTTGGATTTGCTGCTTTTAGTCTTACCTCTCTTCAACTGACCTGTCTGACATGGTAGGACCTTGAGGAACGATTGTTCCAGTCAGTATAGGTCGATTGGTTCATCAAGATGAGCAAGCCGACCACCACTCCAAGGTAGCAGCAACGGTCGAGAGACCTGAACCCAGTAACTTTCATTTCAAACATCCAACTCCTCTAAAGTTTCATACATCTGAAACAAATTAATAAATAATTAAACTCACTGAATCTTTATCAAAATATGTAGATTCATAAGCATTACATATTGAATTAATTAGATTTTGATCATCAACTGTCCATACAAACAAGTCATCTGATACACTTAAAGTATCATCATTTTTTGAATTTAACTGTAATTGATCTTCAGTATTTTTCGTCAAAGTTACTGACGACGAAGATGAAGATAATGATAACGATGATGATGACGATGATGACGAGGAACAAGACGACGACAATGATGATGAAGACGATGAATAGTCAGCATTAGAAAATGAATTAATAGTAGATGTATTTATAGAAGTAATTGGCATAGTAAATTTTCTTTCATCTAATTTGGCAATTTTCATTCCACTAACATCATCATTCTTTATCAGTGGATCGAAATGAAACACATTCATAGGATTAGTTTGTTTCATGACTAAATTAACATCATGAGTTTGATGTGACATTGATGACGGTTGCTGCTGCAGCTGTTGTTGTTGTTGTTGTTGATGATGATGGTGATGATTAGGATGTTGGTGATGATGATGATGAGGAGGAGGATGTTGATTTCGTTGATGTTGATCATATGATAAAGTATCATTAATTAGGCTTACTGGACAATATTGTGATATATTGTTACCAGTATCCATTATCGATTGGGTAAATTGTTCACCATTCCAATTTGTATCAGTTACAATTGGTTGAATAAAATTATTTTGATGTTGTTGTAATGGAAGTTGATGATGTTGATGAATTGGATTGATACCACTATGTATAGTAGTTAATGCATGATGATGATGAAATGTATTCTCAATTGTTGAATTATTTGACCAATACAGTTGATTGGATTCATCTAATGGAATACTAGATGATATATTCACTAATGAACTTGAATGAAGTGTATTATTTGGCATTAAATCTGTTGTTGGTACTTGAATTGGATGACCAGTAGGATGTTGTTGATGATGATGTTGATGATGATGTGGTTGATGATGATTAGTACTTACATAGTGACTATGTTGATTTATTGGAGAATTTCCATCGGAATAGATAAGATTATTTCTTGTTGGTGATGTTTGTAATAATGGAAGCATAGCACAATTTGGATCATATATTGTTGGTTGAATTGATGTTGAATTATGTTGATCAAGATTATTAGTAGAGGATTGTATTGTTGGACTAAGATTTGTAGATATATGTAATTGAGTTGAATTACCATCAGTTGGTGATAAATTGGTAAAATTCATTACACCTGTTTGAGCTGTTATCGATGGATAATTATGTAGTATTGAACGTGATTGATTAGTTGTTACCATTGGTGATTTCATTTGTGATTGTCTAATTTGTGCTGAAATTACATTCTGTTGAGACATTAATGGAGAACGATGAAGTGGTGAAACAGCACTTGAAATAGAAGAAGGTGTTGGAGGTAGGTAACTAGTTTGTTTAGGTGGACTTGGACCAGAATTGATTTGACTTTGTTGTATTGCATTATCAGATTCAGCACGTTTACGTGCACGATTTGCTTCAATTAAACGACGTTTTGCTAAACGTTTTTCTTCATCCAAAACCACTTTTTAAAGAAAAAGAAATTGAGAAGTAAATCTATTGGTTAGTGCTTCATTTCAAAACTAAACTTATTTGGAGAAACTTGAACATCTTTGTTATTGTCATAAACACTCTTATCATATGACTTATCAAGAATCAATCTATCAAGCGTTTCTTTTGTTAACCTAGAATACGCAAACGATATCATTCTGCTTGGCAAAAACTCTCAAAAACTTTAGTCTTTTAACCGCCTTAAGCAACAATATTAGCATGTTTGGGATTCATTTCTCTTCATTTAAATACAAAATTTTGCAAGAGGACTGATCTGTATCAACGCCTCAACTAGTGATAAGGAGCGAAACAGTTGAGCGCATCCTGTGAGTTTCATCAGTCCTGATGGGTTGGTGCCTAGAGAAATTTCATCAAGAATTTGTGGCATAGGTGAGATATCCGTCTGCCAACTAAAGGATGAGTCTATTACCCAACAACTTGATTTCGTTTTTCTTTATGAGTGTGAAACATGGTCTTTAAAAATAGAGAACCTTTGTAGATTATTAGTATTCAATTATAGATGTCCTCATATATATTTTGGGATCATCGTGTTAGAAATTCTGAGATGAAATGCAGAGTGCAAGGTAAGGATGATGAATTAATTGATGAGTGAATTGTTATTGACTGAGATGGTTGGGATATGTGTGACGTATGCCCAAACACCTTGATGCGTGATCATTTTCTATGTAGGAGTATAGAAGACCAAATCAAGGTGTGGCATCAGTCCATGAAGACACTGACTGTTAGGATGAGCCATGTAGGCAGGTGCAAGCTACTTGATTAAGATCCGCATGATTATTGTAACTAATGGTTAGAGGCTTTCAGTGACATGTTGCAAAATCGATCTGAATGATGTAGGTTCATTCACTCTATTAACCATTAGATCTTTATTATTCCATTTTTTTAATTTTCTTCATGAATCATATCTTCGACTCCTAGTCTTTCCTATTAACATTAATTCTGTCACTGTCTCTACAACTATGGGATTTGCCCTGACAATTTTATCTCCTTGTGCTAACTGTGTATGGCAATATGAACCTATGTGCTCATTTGCCAGAATCTATGTTGCGTCTGAATGACTAATATCTGTGTTTATATCGTAATTTTGGATCATTTAACATCACCAATCACTGATCTTGACTGTTTTAGGAGTCACATTCTTCTTCCTATATCTTAATTCAACTGGAGATCTAATTGATTAACTAGATGAGGCTTTTGCTGTACATTCTAGTTACCTTAGTCATCAAGAGTTAATCATCTTATCAACCTATTGACCTACTTCATATTATATTTAACAACAACGTACAAGTTCATTTAATAGGCTGAGAACTTGTGGTACTATTTATCAATGAAGCTTTAACAAACGAAAAGAGACATTAATTGAACCTTTCTGACGAACCCAAAAAAGTTTATTTTCAGGATGTTTTACATAAATATTGATAAAAAGAACTGAGATAGTAATTCGCTTACAGAACTATACTAGTGACAGAATTTCAATACTGTCAATCTTAATTTCACAAGGAGAACAAAATGTGACCCTTTGACTAAAAATTTCTATAAGAGTTGTCCGTTTACAATGGAGATATGATTACTTGTTGGATGGAAAGTAGTATAAGTCTTAATTTGAAATTTCATAGCATAATGATATTAATAAACTCTGCTGATAGTTTTCTTCAAGTACAAGAAAGATAAGTTAACTGAAAAATGATTCTATTCATAATGAATATGATACAGAGAGATCCTGGGTTCGAATCCGACTGCTGAGGGGTCCCATACTAGAGCGAAACGGCTATCTTGTGTTTCCAGGTTTTCAATGGCGCTTTATCTTCAATTGACTGATGATTTCAACCATAAACTTACTGAAATCTCCACAAAACTCCCTTCTGATTATCTCAGATAAACGAAATACAACGAGGTATTTGTAACAAGAAATTTCGTCCACTTATTCCAGTTACACCCCATCAAAATACTTAAAGACTGATCCAATACTAAATGCATAACTTTAAGATATTGTTAACTCAAATGTGAATATAATTTAGACTGAATAAAGTTATATTCACTTAGTAATGTTTGTTTGAATCTTCCCATTGATGTTTAGGACGGCAACTGGTAAGTCTCTCATTGGCATACTGTGTGCATTGCCTTGATATAGCATTAATTCACAAACATTATAAGCAAGGATGAATATTAAGACACAGGGGATAACGCGAAAGGTACTGCGTTCGAGCCCCAGAGTGAACATCAACAAGTTTGAGATGCAGGTACATCCATCTGACGAGTCTCAAACAGGACAAAACGCGAATGTATTCCACCGCTAGCCACTATCCATCTTTGCTTATGATTAAAGTTATGTTAGACATTACAACCAGTAATCAGTATCAGTCAGTCGCAACGTAGATACTAAGACGTACGTACATAGATCCTGTTTGAAATACAACATTAGCATAGTGAGATGTCAGACCAAATCCTAGAATAGTAGAATTACTAACAGTGCCAGAAGTATTAGAAAAGATTAAGCATCGAAGATATGACTCGAAAAGAAAATATACAAATGAGCGAAATATAAACAAAAAAGAGTCTACATCTATTAACGAGGAGGAGCATTAGACTGTGGAGTTCAAGTGTTAAATGTGAAGAAACTTCCCACTGAAGGGAGCAGATGATCACGTGTTATTACTGACTGACTTAAGTTACATTTGTACACTGTTTAGTCTCGGACCAGTGGTATGAATGTCAAGCAACTGTGCACGAGATCGAAGGTCTTGTGTTCATTCTCAGGTAATGGATTATAGATGAACATTGCTAGGAAGTCTGATACTCAGCGATTCGGTCACTTTTAGTTTCCAGTTTATGGTTTAAATAACAAACTTAAATAATAATAGTAATTATCGGTTCAAACTAAAACACAAAACCATAGTTATGCAAACAAAATAATTGTTTTCAACTTACAATCTTTTGCCATACCACCTTTAATACATCGATCAAAGCGACATTTTTGACAACTATTACGATTTTGTTTATCCGATACAGAACATCGTCCATTGTATTTACAAGTATAAACTAGTTTCTTTTGTACTGAACGTCGAAAAAATCCTTTACAACCTTCACATGTCATAGCACGATAATGAAATCCAGTTGCATTATCACCACATACAACACAAGGTTCAGGACCATTGGCTGGATCCATATAACTAGGAATGTATGGATCTTCTGGTAAATAGAAAAGAAAAGAATATTAAAATGGGTGAACAAATAAAAATTGTATTTTACATCATTTCAGTGACTAAAATTTAAGTAATTCCAACTCTGCCTGTAGCTCCTCCGGGGGCTACTGCCGGTCCCAAGCCCGGATAAAGGAGGAGGTTTGGGCATGGGGTTAGCGACCCCATTCCGTAGAAAACCAACTCGCCAAAAAAAGTTAACCAGAAGAAATTATTCAAGTAAATGTTTTATCCAGCTATGTTGTCTAGACTTATTTAGGGTTATAGTAGTCAAAGCTTAACAGGAGTTGTAATCTCAATACAAAGAAATGAAATAGACAGATGAAATGAACTTAAAATTTTGTTTATACAGTGTAAACAACTATGCTAAAGGGATATAAAAGAAGATTGTTAAGAATGAAAGGAAGACTAATTTAGATTGTATACTGAGAGAATAGAAGAACGTTGTTGTCACCTAATATCATTCAGAAACACCAGAGGAAATAAACAAGATTCTAAATAAACGTAATGTAAGGGTCTACTTTCGTTCAAGTGATACCATATGATCAACGTTAGCTAAAGTTAAGGATAGACGTTTAAGCGAAGAATAACAAGATTTTGTCTGTGAGATCAAATGTCGTGGATGAAACGGTGAAACAACGTTTGAAACATGTCCATAAGTCCTCGATTGATCTCAAGAAACTTGAGCATGTATTGACAATAGTGCAACGTTCGTTCAAAACAGGACATCAAATCAATTTTGAAGGGACTAAAATAGTTTAAAAAGATCCTGGAGCCATGTGCACCATCGATTTGGAATCGGGATTTTCCAACTCCCCTAGGTGGACCCTCCATATCCACCAACCTGGTTAAAGCTCCGAACATTCGCTTTTCGTCCTCTCAATTTCGCAAACAACACCCCCGTTGAGAGAACATAGTAAAAAAGACTTCCCTGACAGTGACTGTATACGAGTGTCCATGTGAGAGCATTTTGAGAAGGAGAGTTGATTCTCCCCCACCCTCGGTCGTATCAAGGCATTCGGGAATTAGTTCAAAAATAATTTCTACATGTAATGTCTTTTAAATAATCAGGACTCAATTTCAGTGAAGCTATCGGGGAATGTTAATTTAAATTAATAATTTACATATAAGCACAAAAATATAGGTAAAAACAGTATTTCTTTTATTTGATAGCCTGAATTTCGCCGAAAATGATAGTAACCTTAGGAAGCACTGAAGAATTCTAATGATATGTAAGTAGGAGAAAACTAGGAACTTCTGTAACCTATTTTAATAGGCAGAGTTGAATAGTGGGTAGCGATGGAATCCAGGAAGCGCGTCTCGTCCTATATGAGACTCGTCAACATGATGTATCCGGCCCTTAGAGTTTATGATCTCACCGAGAATCTAACTCAGTATCTCTCGCTTCAAACAGTCAATATATTATTCACTGGGCTACTGAGTTCAAACTGAGGTGCAGGTATGTCTAGCCGACTAGTTACACACTTGGGTTAGAAGTGGTCTTAATGACCTGAGAGCGTGACTGCAGTGCCCAAGGGACAACTGCTTGAGGTCTGTCACACATGACCATTTTGTGCGTAATTTTTGTGTTAGCTCCGTACTTGTTGAGACCTCACCGCCGGAGACGGATATCTGTGGGATAAGGCGAGGTGTGCATTCTTAGGGTCGACCTTTTCTAACCCCAACCCTTCTTGTGGAAAGGCAGCATCGTTGTTATGCTGGTTGTCTGAAGGAAACACCGTACTGCCGTCTCACCTCTGTACAGTCAGCAGTACGACTTCGCCTTCCGACCTTGGATTTGCTGCTTTTAGTCTTACCTCTCTTCAACTGACCTGTCTGACATGGTAGGACCTTGAGGAACGATTGTTCCAGTCAGTATAGGTCGATTGGTTCATCAAGATGAGCAAGCCGACCACCACTTCAAGGTAGCAGCAACAGTCGGGCAACTTGGACCGATGCATATATGTGCCTGGTCCTACATTGTAGCTGACTGACTGATTCAATATATAATTTCTCACTAAAAACAATTACAACACAATAACCATATATATGATGGTATTTAGATCTTTGATTCATAACTTTTATCCTATTTAATTATATTATTCATATGTCTAGTTGAATTATGTTAAATGAATTCGGATTCAAGTTTGTGCGTACTCAAAATTATCGATTTCTCATTTAAGAGTCAAAGTTTCATAGGTAACATAATGGAGTGATCTCAGTTAGATAGCCATTGAAAACTCGTAGGCACAAAACAATTCCTTTTTTTAATATGGGATACCTCAGCAGTGAACATCCATGACCAACGGAAATTGCAGCTATGACCTTCAGGTTTCACTGTGAGAACATTAATTCAACCCAATGTGCAATATTACGTAACCATCTTCTAATGCCACGTGCGGCTAACTGCATTGCACATAAAATGGTTAGACTCAACTGATCAATGCTTCCAACTAGAACTCCGAAAATCACTACTGAATATAGGCTTAGTCGTAAACAGGTTAAGCGATAATGGCCCATTACTAATAAATTTCATGTTAAAGTGAAACAACTCTCGAGCGTTTCTTGATTTTCGGTTGTTGTCAGACTAACTAACCATCTGATGTAAACTAATGAAAACTCGACAAACTCCACAACCCTCTTTAGTAGAAGAGATTAAATAATTAATATTCATTATCAGAAGGGGGTTTTGTAGAGATTTAGTATTGATCGTGGATGCGCGCTGCTGATGAGTCCAATAATAAGACGAAACGGCCGTTAAGTGCTTCCAGGTTTTCCATGGTGGTCTAGCTTCAATTGACTCATGCTTTCAACTATGAAAATTAATATTCAATCATAGACGTGCACGTTTTTAAATCATTTTCATTCTACTTCATTTCATACAATTAAATAGTACACCCATACACATTAGCACAAACTTCTAATCGATTACTAATTTGTGTTAATTTAATTTTAAAATCAATTAGTTCATGATATTATCACTAAATTGTATTCTTCAACATAAAATATAATTTAACAGTTGAATTCATTAGTCATTTGAAGCCAGATCACCATGGAAAACCTGGAGGCACTGGACGGCTTTTTTGCACTCGTATGAGACCCCCCCCCAGCAATGCGCATCCACGATCCCACACGTGGGATTTCGACCTAGGGACTATCGGTCTCGCACGCAGACACTTAACCTCGAGACCACTAAGTCAGTATCCGACTGTGTTAATATCTAACTTCAACCAATCCACGAAATTGAGCAGCCATCCATCATTGTCTTCAGTGAGTTACTATCTCACAACAGACCTGGTTGAACTACACTAGTCACTGCTTCTTACTAGAACTGCAGGAAATACCTCTTGAAGTCAGTCACTAGGGCGTACATGTTGATTAATATCAGAAGGGTCTTTGTGGATATTATAGTAATTTTAATAGTTGAGATCATGAGTCGATTCTGCTTCAATAATCTTTCTAGTTTTAAATTCAATATTGAATTTATTTCGATTATGTTATGCCACCGAATACCATATATATGAAATTTTGGAACTAATTTTTTCGTGTTTATAGTCTTCTGATTGTTTATAACCAACATAGAGCCTGGTACATATATGACTAAATTGTCATACCATATTATCACAACAAGGTAAATCGAAGTAAGATAGTAATGTTGGCTCCTTGACAGTACGCACCGACGACCTTATCAGGGATAGAATTCAGAGCCTTTACGTCTTGCAGTAAACGCTTAACTATTAAAACCGTTTTGGAGTTTGATTGTGCAATTCTAACTTAAATCAATGTGGTGATTATTTAATACCACTGGTAGCAAATGTTTCATTTCCAATGTATATGAGCTCTACACTTCACAACACCCCAATAAGACTGCGCGAACATCTTAAAATAAGTCACTATTGAGCTGATCAAATACTTCACTTAGATTTCTAAAGGTAGATAATCAGTCTCACGTTATTATTATTAAATTCTCTGATGAACATTCGTCTGAGGCGAGTACTAAATTATATCATTTGAACCGAGGTTAGTTGTTTTGAAATTTATTACACACAAATTTTTATACTTGGCTTTCAGTCACACTTAGTATATGAGTACCAGTGATAATCGCTGATTGACGAAAATGAAGTAAATGAGATGGACTTTGAAAGTGTGACTTAGTTTTAGAGAGTTGAACACTTTGATAACTGAGTTACCAATTCAATAATCAGTTTACCAAGTAGCGGGTGTCATAAGTTGAGTGAATGATTCTTAGTATTTAGAACGTAATAATCTTTTAGTCATTTGGCCAAATAGGTCCTTCGACCTAATTCTTTTTTGATATATAACTCATATCATCAAGTCTCATATAAAAAAATGTGGCATGAATATTGTTTGGTCGATGAATTGCGTTTTATGTTTGAAGATTTGTGTTCGAAGAAGTGGGTATTAGTCCTTAATCGTCAAGGAAACGTTACTTAATCATAGACATATATTCACATCAAGATTATTAATCACAAATAAACAACAAATAACAGTATCAGGTTGTGAATTGTTTGAAGTTAGACATTAACACCGTTGAATACTGGCTCAGTGGTCTAGAGGTTAAGTGTTCGTACACATGACTGAAGGTTCTGGGTCCGAATCCCGTGTGCAGGATCGTAAACGCGTAATGCTGAGTTCCATACTATAAAGAAGCAGCCATCTAGTGACTCCAGGTTTTCAATGGTGCTATAACATCTATTTATTCGTGATCTCAACATAATAAATAGTCCGAATTTTAATGTTAAGATTTGAATATATCTTAAATTTTCATTATACCAGGGAATTTCTGAGCGCATACAAAAATAAAGATTTCATTTAAATTATACTCAAGACACCCTAACTATTGAATTCACTTGGCATTGTTTGTTTGAATCTTCCCATTGTTATTTAGGACTGAAATTGATCAGTCACTCATTGGCATATGTACATCCTGTGAAGACTACCTCGACATTGCCTTAAGTCACAATCATTATGAGCAATGATGGATAGTGGCTAGCAGTGGAATCCAGGACGCGCGTTCCGTCCTATTTGGGACTAGTCAACCGGATGTGCCTGCATATCAGAGTTGCTATTCGCTCAGTATCTGAGTAGATAACGCGATGCTGTTTGATGAAAAACATACTGGGTTCGAGTCACAGAGTGAACATCAACCCTGAGATGTAGGTACATCCAACTGACGAGTCCCAAACAGGACGGAACGCGTGTCCTGGATTCCACTGCTAGCCACTGTCAATCTTCACTCGAATTATTGTTTATTTATTTTGCCAAGACATTTTAATGTTCACCGTTGAATATTTATTTAAGCACAAATGGTTTACGCGCCTTACTGATATCTCAAGAAAGTAGATTCATACTCTGAATTGATTATTTAAATTTAGTTTATTATATCTATAATGAACGAGAAAGTCAGTGAGAATAGCCAAATGCATTTAAACACAATATTACAGAATCTCTTGGTAAAATCTGAGAACCATACAGTAAATTACTCATCTACAAAATGTCAATCAATCGTCTCAGACATGACTATTCCTTCGTTTCCATTCCAATCAATATTTGTACTCATTCTCTTTTCTTTGCTCTTTTTAACCTTCTGCCTCCAGATATTTCACTATCGATTAATGATACATACTACTTATATCTGTTGACATAAGTAGCACATATCAAATATCTAATTCATTTTACATCTCCAATAAGTAGCGTATAGTTGAACTAGAATTATTATTTGCTCAATGAAGATGACAGTTCGCTGGAATCTATACAATAAAGCATATAGATGCATGTGTTTAAACTAACCTATGTAAATTTCTACATATAACTAGAGGTGAGACAAAGGGATTGGTTTCCTACTATTGTTTAAATTATTAAATATAGTATGGAATTAGTTATACAAAGGGAAACTTGTTTTTAAGTTTACTCTCAAGTTGTGTTTCTATCAATCTTTCTAACATTTTAAACATGATTGCATAATACTTGGATAAATAAATGCTTTGTTTCGGATTAATTCACTTTAGATATTTTTTTCTTCATTATTTCACATTTGTTTCTAATATGCCTCCAAACGCCCTGGTACGGCCGACAGTGAGGAAACTCCGCTCTCTCTCTCCAAATGCTCTTACACGGTCACGCGTATATGGCTTCTGACAAAGAAGTCCCACTCACTGTCTTCTCGTGGCATTACTGTTGTTTACGAAATTCAGAGGACGAAAGGCGAATGTCCGGTGATTTAACCAGGTTGGTGGACACACAGTGAGTCCAACTAGGGGAGTCGGAAAACCCTGATCCCAAACCAATGGTGCAAATGGGCTGACTCCAGTATCCTGAGGGAACAAATGGCGTGTGAACCAATTGTTGGTCACCGGCTAACATGGGACTACATCTCCACTGCCTTGTGGATCAGACCTTTAAGTCATAGGCTCCGTGTGTGACCCCCTATGAAAACCACTTGCTTCGGTTTGGGCACTCTGGCAGTATAACATCCCTCACGCAAATCGAGTGAGATTCGTGTGGCGCATATGTATCTAGTGTCCCTTCGTACCAATATTTGTGTGTTTAAATAAATAAATAAATAAACATTTCTAATATGCTTGAGAAGATTTGCAGCTTATGTAGATGATTATGGTGGAGTTTTTTTCTCTGAACTGACCAAACCATTCCACTCAGTGAACAAAACTCCACTAAAAACAATTTTTTCTCAATATCTTTGTCAAGTATGACTGCTTAGTTGTTTGTCCGAGTGATTTACTTTCTCCATCATCATCATCATCATCATCATCATCATCATCATCATCATCATCATCATCATCATCATCATCATCATCATCATCATCATCATCATCATCATCATCATCAATATTGTATGAACATCAAGATACCACATAGTAATAAATACAAATTTGAGATTACATAAACTTAGCTATAATCCGCAGTTGTTGTTGTTTTATGGATTTATATACACTGATGTACATCTGTTCAAGTCGCCATGGTCCATTAACACAGAGAAAGGAAAGCGTCAGTAATAACAGTATCAGAAGTATTAGGAAAGATCAAAGATATCAAAGATATGACTCGAAAAGAAAAAATACAAATCAGTGAAATATAAACAAAAAAAAAGTTTTATGAGGAATTTCGAATACCAGGATTTCGTAGAACGCAAAGATTAGATGCACTTGAGATATTGTAAACGTTTTAAATATATATCATTCAAAGTTCATAACTATTGATTTCGATAATCATGAAGATCCCCAATTGTATAGTCTACACTTATCAACATGACTTATTCCAATTGTCAGTGACTTTATGAACTGATGAAATGTATTGATTTGACTAAGCCTTAACTTACCAACAATAACCTACTCCCACATCAAATATTTGTTGTTATGGTAAGCAATATTTTGTAATACATAATACATGTCCTAACTGCCTTACTTTTGTGAAGATTTACTAACTCATCAAAGATATCAGAATGCTGTTAGAGAGATTGATTATTTGAATATAATGGTCTTGAGTACTTTTAAAAGTATGAGGATAGTTTTCACTTCCATTGGATTAACTACTTCTATGAGTTTAGTGATCATCTTGTTGTGTTAATGGGGTATGATAACTTGGATCGATGAAAGTCCTACGTTGTAGCTGACTGACAGATAACCAAATACAATTATTTCTTCATCTGGTACTATTGGTGTTACTCAAAACATGCCTTTTTTAGAAAAATAATTTCCAAATTTCATTATGCAAAGAAATATCTCAGAGATAAGGAATTTATTTACAAGTGCTTTACAGGGGATATTAGGTCTAAGTACGATGAATATCATAATCTAAAATCAACTATCTTCTTACATATAGTTGACGTCTAAAGGCCTTTTTGTCATCTTTTAGAAACTCAAGCTTTAAAGAAAGTATTTTTTGAAATTCTTAATCTCCGGGTAAAGATAGATAGGGGGTATAAATGAAATCTAGTTTGAGTCGCGTTTCGTCCTATTTGGGGCTCGTCAAATGAATGTACCTGTATCTCAGAAGTGATGCTCACTCTTGGACTCGAACCCAGTACCGTTCGCTTCAAGCGTCATTGCGTTATCCAATTAGCTATGAAGTGCTGATAGACACTTGCTTGTGTAATCCCACTGCTAGCCATTATCAATCTTTACTTATCATACTTCTGAATGAATGTAATACTGAGGCCATACGTACAGTATGTACATAAGCTAATACGAGACTGATCAGTTGCAGTCTTAAACTACTTCTATGAATTCGGTGTTCATCTTGTTGTGCTAACGAGATATGGCAACTTGGACTGATGCATATGTGTGTCTGGTTCTACGTTGTAGCTGACTGACTGACTGACTAAACACCAATGGGAAGATTCAAGTAAACAATAGTAAATGACTATTAATCTCTGTTTTTTAATATTTTGATACTTTATCTGGATAATTTAAATGGTTAAATTATCTAAATATTCGTCCTATTAATTTATGAATCATTTTCATTATCAGAAAACGAATTTCAGCAAATTCAATTTATATAGTAGTAATCATGAGTCAATTGAAGCTAGACCACCATGGAAAACCTGAAAGCACTGGACGGCCGTTTCGTTCTATTATGGGACTCCTCAGAAGTTCAATTTAGTAAGTAATAGTATACCATCCTACAGTATTATATTTTATGTTAGTATACAGTTCACACAGTTCAGAAATTTGTGCATGCATCAAACCAAGTTTCTTGTAATTGTATAATAGCTGAGTGGTTACATCTCTGACTGAAACTAAGTTATGTGAGATTGAATCCGTCAGATAATAATAGTTCCCCCAAGATGACAGGTACACTTTATTGACAAGTGTTAAATAACATGGAACCTAAGTCAAGAAGGGTATCTTGTCAATTATCTCTAATCATAACCTTACATTTGAGCATAATGAATAGAATATCGAGTTAATTAGACTAATGAAAACATTGCAGTTTGATTAATTGAATCTGATCAACACTATAAAGGACTTGACATACATGACAATCATCACTATACAGTGATCAGTTTATTGATCATGCACACACGCACAGAAAAAAATTAATCTATTAACTTACTTTTACGTTGTCTTGGAACTTTTGTAGTTCCATTCCCTGTAGTACTTGATACATTTCCTGATGAAGATGATGATGAAGAAGGTCCATGTAATGAATTTGGTACATTTGAATAATTCATTGTACAATTATTCATTGATGATTGTGAAACAACAGATGGATTAATAATAGGACATAACATGGATGATCCAATTGAATTTGAATAATAACTAGGTATTGTTTCTCTAAGTAAAGTAATTCCATTCCAATATGATTGTGAATCATTAATTCTTCGACCTGATGATGATGAAGATGACGATGATGATGATGATGACGTTGATGAAGAAGCTGACAAAGTTGACAATGAAGAAGAAGATGATGGTGTTGATATTAAATTTACTAATTCAGTAACTGGAGGATTACTATTATTATAATTTCCAATAAATGGTTGTTGCATATCCATTGTTTGTTGATGTTCTACAGGTAACTGAAATAAATTTGTCGTAGTAACTGATGACCATATATTTGATAAGTCTGTAGTAATCGGTAGATTCATATCATTATCATTAGACAATTTGTTACTAAGGGAATAGTTCTTTTAACTTATTCACATAGATATATATATATACATATTTTCATTGTAGTTCATTTCCCTTCAAAATGTAAAACTATACAATTAGATTGATCAACTTAATGAAGGGTATGTTTGTATAATGTTACTATTACTATTAATACTATACAATAAGCATATTAATGATGATCATGATGATTAAGTAATAGTAATGATAGTAATAATAAGGTTTATATATTATGATTAGTTTTGGACATGTTTCAATACTACTGAAATAAGTGAACACTGTTATTATGGCTAGAATCAGGTCATGACCTAACTTCAAAAAAAAAGTTTAGATATATATACGTATAGAGAGAGAGGGAGGGAGGGAGAGAGAGAGATAGGTGGTTAGATATAACTAATTGTTGATTGGTTCATATATTTATAAAACTCATTTAAATGTGCGGTTTAAAAAATAGAAAAAAATTTTTTATGGATCTATCTATCTACTACTTATTTCTTTTAAATGAAACGAAAAAATTTTTTTGGTTTAGATAACCATTGCTTTGAATGATGATTTCATTTGGAAAAAGTTTTACTCTTATTGGTTAAATCGTTTTTTTTTTAAATTTATGAAGGGGTCAAATAGGGGTCAATAGTGATCAATCAATAGAATAGGTATGACCTTAGTTCTATTATAATAAAAAATTTAGAATAAATTTTGTACAAAGTTTGATATTGTAAGGAAAGATGGATAGTGGCTAGTAGTGGAATACAGTTTGACTCACGTTTCGTTCTATTTGGGACTCGTCAATTGGATTTACCTTCATCTCAGAGTTGATGTTCACTCTGGGATTCGAACCCAGTACCTTTCGCTTCAGACGCAATCACGTTATCCCCTCGGCCACTGAGTCCTGATTGTATATGATATTGTATAATAAATTCGAAGGGGTTTTTGTAGACATTAGTACGGTTGGATGTCGGCCAGCTTAGTGGTTTCAGAAGTTAAGTGGTCGAGCGCGAGACTCATAGGTCCTGAGTTTGAATTTCAAGAGGCGGGATCGTGCATTTGCACAATTGAGGAGTCCCACAATAGGACAAAACGGCCATCTAGTGATTCCAGGTTTTCCATGGTGGTCAAGCTTTAAATTATTCATGATCTAAACTATAGTAAGTTTGAGATAAGACTTTTTCTCTCCTCAGATTCGTACTAAGAGAGGGGTTGAAATAGTCTCATTGTTAAAAGTTGTTTACATTAAGACATGACTTAAAAAATCGGGAATCACAGAAAAACTGTCTTATTCTAGTGTGAAACTTATCAGCGATGAACTTGTATAGCAACTCATTGGGATCGAACTCAAAACCTTCTCGTCTTATGGTGAAGTTATCATTATAGTGAAATGATATTTACTGGAGAACGGCTAAAAATTTAGAAGTATTAAAGAAGTGTTTTACGTTATTTGAAAACACTTGGGAATTCATATCCATGATAATTCACTGATAAAAATCACATGGTTAATATTTCAAATTCACTATGACATCACCAGGCTACTAAGTCAGAGTTCAACCTTCACATTTCCAATTTCATTCAATTCGTGATAAGATTACTTACGTCTGTTACCCGTCATGGAGGAATATAGACCACCCACCAACACTCTACATCCATCTCTGTTCAGAACAATACTTTCCAGTTCTTTTTACTTGCTATTCATCATTTTCATATCTGTTTCCAATCCTCGGTACAGTGTGTTATTTGTTCTTCCTCTTTTAAGTCCCCGTTCAGGATTCAGAGTTAGAGCTTGTCTCATGATATAGTTTGATGATTTACATAATGTATGTCCTCTTCACTTCCAACGTCATTTCCTAACTTCATCTTCAGATAGAAGCTGGTTTGTTCTCTCACACAGTATCAAAGCAGTTGTTGATGGCATTCGATCAACGGATATCTAGTGTAGACAATTATTTATAAATACTTGTACAGTTTTGGTTTTCAATAATGGTCTGGTTTAGATAAATTCATGAATTCAACCATTAAAATTACTACAATCTACACAATTCCCCTATTCTTACTTAATATTATCTCGGAATATCGTTAATTTTCATTCATTTATCAATTTAGGTTACATCGATCCGATAGTTAACTCGTTTAACAGCTAGAACTCAAAACCATCTTATTAATTAATCATATTTTAGAAGTTTTCACGGTATAAATTAAAAGAACCAAATTTAGCGAGTTTGAGTTATTGAATTCTTATTGATTTTAGTAACTAATCTGGTACCTGACGTATCATACCCAGGACTTTAGGCTTCGCTTGCATTCATACCATCGGGTAACAAATTATTAATCTAAAGTTCAAGTTTTTGTCGTAATACCTGAGGAAATTGTGTTATATCTTTAGTAGAGTCGTGGATGAACACTCTGCAGTGATCCCACAGTAGTATGGAATGATTTTCTAGTACTTTTTAGTGTTTATTAGTGATTTAATTCAGATCAGTGTGTGATAAAATCTAATTATCTAATAACAATCAGTATCTTCCATTCATATTTAACGGTTGAGATTTTCTGCTAATCAAGATCTTGGAACTATTTTCCAGTTCACCATATATTCATGATCCTTGAATTCCACTATATTTAACTCTCGCCTTTTTTTTCTAAAAAAATAAACAAATAAAAAGAAAAAATGTACGAAAAACTCCAATGTCACAGTTTGACTTTGACAGTATTTATTATCATCACATCATTACGTAAACCTGTTTACAACAGTATGTAAGTACAAACAATTCACATTCATCATTATTTATTTCCAACAAACATAGAACAGATAGATTCATTTGTTGTTGTTTACTCGTATCTTCCCATTGTTTGTTTTTTTGGACTACAATTGATCAGTCTCTTGTCGGCACATCTGCATCCTGTGAGTATTGCCTCGATATTGCCTGAAGTCACAAGGTTTATAAGGAAAGGTGGATGGATGATGACTAGCAGTGAAATCCAAGAAGCACTTTTCATTCTGTTTGTGATTCTTAAGATGGATGTACCTACATACGAGAGTTAATGTTTATTCTGGGGCTCGAGTCCAATACCTTTCTCTTCAAATGCCATCGCGTTATTCACTTAGCCACATAATCTCTTGTGTAATGCTATACTTCTTGCATGATCATCAATAAATTCTTCATTGAAACTGTATAACTCTATTAACGTTATCAGGATTATTAACCAACCAAAACAGATACTTGCATTCTGATTGATTACATTATGGATCAGTTATGAATAGTGTTCTTTGATAAATCTATCATTATTTTATCTTGAATTTTAGATTAATCTGTATGAAGTAGAATTCGTAGCTTAATAAGTGGACTCTATTCAAACTGTATATCAAAATAGTTAGTTTAGCAATAATACCAATAATATCAATACAATGTTGTGGAGATTGTTGAGTTTTATTCAGATCATGAACCGATTTATGTTAACCACCACTGAAAACCTTGAAGCACTAGACAATCGAAGACAATGGAGGATGGTTGCTCAGTATATCGGATTGATTAACGTTAAACATTAAGATTGTTGGATCCAGTCTAGATGGTTTAGAGGTTAAGATTTCGCGCGAGACTGAAGGTTCTCGGTTAGAATCCCTTAGTGCAGAATCGTCTATGTGAACTACTGAGGAGTTTCACAGTAGGACGAAACGGCCATCTAATGTTTCCAGGTTCTAAATCGCGGTATGAGGCTGGTCAGCTCTTGATCTCAATAACAATAATAATCTTAAAATCGAGTTGTAGCCTCTATTTTATAGTTAACGTCACAGATTACATTCATCTGATGTAATACGGGCTGGAAGAAGATTTATTACACTAGGATTTATCAATGAAAATGTTTCACCGCTTTATTACCTACAGCTCACTTAAAAAATCTTAAAATTAAATATCTACACAGTATAATCTCAGTTGAGAAAACACGTATAGATTCTTCCATATTCTGTGTGGACATAAGTGTGTGAATGTAGTTTTTCCACGTGATACATGAATTAAGAATAGTTTATGTGAAAAAGAAAACGAAAAGGAAATAGAATATTTTGGTAAGCTGGATGCTTAATGGCAGTGGATTATCGGACTTGAGTTTCATTATCTTCAGGATTCGTCATTTGGACGTCTTTATATCACAGTGTTCATGTTCACATAAGGACTAGAATCCAGTACCTTTATACTTTTATCCACTGAGCTACTAAGTTCAGAAAGCCATTTACTTGTGGGACGAGGATAAGTTTACAAATTTCACATTTTCAAATGAATATAATTACATGTATTTCTGAGGATGGGGATGGTTCCTATTACAATCCTTTGACTTAAGAGGCTAACACAAAACTGATAATCAAACAGACCCTTTTTGGTTATACTGTATAAAGGATTCAAGAGGTAAATAATTCCTCAAAAAAATAGTTGTGTGGGTAGTCGATTATACTGTTCGATACTGTGGTATCTAAGTCACCTTCAGTTTAGATCACATTATGACTGAACTTTGAACTGTAAATCATAAGACTATTGCACTAGTTATACGATAATGAGTTCATTTCAAAATATGATTCATATAGATTTGATTTTATAAGTGATACCTAGTAAGTGAGTATTCCTGATGAGTCCCAGATTAAGATGAAGCAATCATGGATTGTTAGGTTAATACTTACGCCTGTTGCCCCTCATGGAGGAGTACAGACCACCCACTAACACTTTACATTCAACTCTGTCATCGACAATCCTTTCCAGTTCTTTCCACTTGCTATTCATCATTTTCATATCTGTTTCCAATCCTCGGTACAGTGTGTTATTTGTTCTTCCTCTTTTACGTTTCCATTCAGGATTCAGAGTTAGAGCTTGTCTCATGATATAGTTTGATGATTTACATAATGTATGTCTTATTCACTTTCAACGTCATTTCATAACTTCATCTTCAGATGGCACTGGCTTGTTGTTGCTGATGGTATTCGTTCAACGGAAATTGAGAATCT